AAGTTCATACTACATACTATGGAAAATAATTTTGCAAGAATCAAATAAGAATACAGCCAAATTTCTCCATCAGCTAAGCACAGCTCACATAACTAATGCACTCACCTAAAACATATGACTCACAATGCATTTCAGCTTAGTTTACATCATACTTGGAGCAAAAGCATTAACAGGAAAAACAAGAATAATCACATTCCTCTGTTACCTGAGGCACGAGTGCATGCAAGTTCTCGTTTTATATAGCATGTCTAATGGCTCCTGCTCTTTCATACATGCCCATTTCCTGCTCAATTTTCAAATCTTTGTAAACATCATACATTCTCTACTGTTTCTAAAACTAAAAATGGAGGGAAAAAGATGCCTGGTTCCACAAACATACTACATCCTGAATTATAGTAAACCCCCATTTTAATGTGTCTCTGTGAGAATATATTTGCACATTGAGGTCAACAGTGTGTGCATGTGCTGGAATGGGATCACCAAAAGTGAGAACCTACAATCAGGGCTATATTGTGCAATATATGTTAATTATTTTCAGTATCCTGGTCTCTGGTTCAGACTCCATTTGCGTGTCACCTGCATAACCGCCAATTTTGTCACTCATGATCAAAATCTAGCCACGGTCTTCCTCCCGAATGAACAATATTTTTTTAACTGGAGCTTCGTGAAAGGTGTTTCTCAGGTGAGGCTGAGGTGAGGCTCACAATGACATGCTCCTAACATACACACTCTGCTCTGATTGGGACCTAAGTTAACAAACAGACAAATAAATTTCATTCATATTCGTTTATGGCTGTTGTACTGTGATGTGGAAAGCAAATGGAAAAACTACCACATTATCACTTTTCCTGGATAGTCTCTTTCCAAAAACAGAGACATCATGTATGTGAACCAGAAGACGAGGAAGAAGATGTAACAAGATGCTGGATGACCTTGGGGACAGAAGAGGATATTCTTATTCTCATTTGAAGGAGAAAGCTCTGGATCTCATTAAGTGGAGGAACTGATTTGGAAGAGACTCTGGACCTGTCGTCTGACAGATTACTGATGAATTAATGAATGAATCCTGCCGTAAACACCTTGAGTTGGTGCATGAGGAACGTCTGAATGTAACTTTACAGCATTAAGATTATTTTTAAGAACAAATTAATTTATTTAACTGGCTGTCAAACTGGTAACCTAAGATTTAATTTATTTTGTTTTGTTTATATGTTTAGAAATTCTGTAGCATGAAAAGGCAGAATCTGGCCCTCAGCACTGAAACATAAGATTAAGAATGGAAAGATTTGTCATTTTCACAAAATCAATCTTTGCAGATGAAAATAATAATGAACTACAATGTGAACGTGTAATGTATAGTTAAGATGTTATTATAAGGATGCAACATGGCTGGAAACTTCCTGCTGTAGGATGCTCAAGTGCAATAAAATGTTACGTATTACACTGGCCAGTGCAGCTACTCATGAAAGGAATGCAACATGAGCAAATATCATCCCTTATTAAATGTCACAAATTAGAATTCTCTTCAGCCTCTGGTTATGTGTACTTTAGAAAAGAGCCTTCTTGCCAGGAAGAAAGATTCCTAAACATTTTCTGCCAATTTCTATCATAGTGAGAGCAGAAACTTTATTGCGACTGCTGTGAGAAACTCAATTCAATCACATTGCTCTGATGACTGCAAGCATTATGAAAGAAGCGTACTGTCTTCTGGGATGTAGTCTGGTGCAATGCTGCCATTGTTTTGGAGGAAGCTGTTGCCTCCATCTTCAGGATAATTCTGAAATGAAGCCTGAGGCAGCAAATAGTTCCAAAATGTTGACGATGTTCTACCAGTCTATGTGGTATCACATCCCAGAAGACAAAAATCTTTAAGGTCACTAACACTAGCACTTTTCCTTATACATAATATACTATTTTTGTTTTTTGATACAGAAATTCCATTATAACAGCTTACTAAAAACAGCACTCTTTACAGACCCCAGTCCACCCCAAACAAAAGCAGACAGAATGGCTACTAGAGGAAATCCTCCAGAAAGGTAATAAACACAAACGCAGCACAACAACCTGAAGATTTGACTACCGCCAGAAGAGCTACAAAATGTCCAAAACCACATCTCATAGGGATCTTCTCTTTGCAGTGTTTCAATATGATTTTTAAACCTTAATTTAAATTTAAGTCATATTTAGAATTATGCTGGATCTGACCAATTGTAACTCGCAAAGAAAATGTTTCATACTAGCACTGTAGTTTATATCTAGTCTGTCACCATTTGTGTACTTCCTCAAGAATCACCTGATGATGGCCTGTCTGGGCCGAATCATGTTGTGGACTGATAGATAAGAAGGCATGTATGCATGATGTCAATTCTTCCATTTTAATTTGTAAGCACCAGGGTCCCCAGGGTCATGAAACGAGGCAGCCTGATAGATGGGTATCAATATTTCAATGAAACCCACTGCCTCTACTTCAGGGTAGAAGCAAGCAAAGCTGTCAAAGTGGCAGGTTATACAGATGCAGGCAAAATGGAAAGCATGGATGATAGGGTATTTGGTTCACTTCTGGCCTGGGGGTTACTTGATGGCAACGGTTTGGAATAAAAGAGATGTTTATTTCCTGACTAGGATGCACCCTACAAAGAAAGCTGACTCAAGCTATAATGTCTTTGATGTGGTCACTTCAAATCTTGACTGGACACTGACTACCATTCAATACTATATAATCACAGCCACTGAAAGCATCCTTAAATAAAAAAGAAGTGAAGAATCTTGTTATATCCCAACATTTACACAGACCCTCTCCCTCAAATAAGTGAGATTTCATCGACCTTTTCACTGGGAGAAAATGATATCGTATGGGGCACAAGACTTTAAGACTGACAGTAAAACAACAATTTCTCATTCTAAGTTTCATCTGATACCAGGTTCACACACAAGTCTCTGGCACACAAACTACAGAAATGAAATTTTGCTGTGCCGTCATTATGTTTTGTCTGCTTTAAGATACATTTTACTTTACACTCTCATCATCGATGGTTTTGAAAAAATTAATATTTTTTGGGAAAGAGAACACAATTTTAATTAAATTTATTAATTTAATTTTGGCAATAAGCTCCATTAGGGTGGATTCATAGTATAACAGAGGTTAATAAATTGTATGTCTTTAACATGACAGGTGGGAGGGTGAGAAAATACATAAATACTTCAGCATAAAAACTTTGGTGATCTGGCCAGATATAATTTAGTACATTTATACACAGGACACCTGTAAAATAACAAAGTATAAAATTCTGAGTACCTTGTATTTTACATATTGGAGCTTTGTATTTATCTCAGGATTTGAGGAACAACTGATTCTCCAGCTCCCAGTAAGAGCACACATTCAATGGTGGGTGAATCAAATGAAGAGTTCGCTACAGATTGCTTTACAACCTTCCTTCAATCTGCACCAACAACACTTCAGTAAGAAAGACCACAATATGGATAATGTACCTACATTGTTAATTATATTAATACATGCTTAATCCTTTCCCAGCTACTCAGTAATGGTTATTTCCATTAGATTTCTTCAGTCTGGTACTTCAGTACCGTTTACATATTTACAACCTACTTCAGACTTTAAGGACATATTTCAGATCTGAGGTTCTCATGGCAGTGAACTATGAAAATTACTGCCTTCTAGGTTGGGACATTGTGTAGTCTGGTACAACATTACCAATGTTTTGGAAGCAGCATGCTCCTCTGAAACATTGCTAACATTCTATCAGGCTACACGACATCACAACCCAGGACACAGTGACCAATATCTGCATATAAATGGGTGACCCCCAAGACTTTAAAACTGTAATTACTCAAACCAACTGCCAATACACCCTTATGTAAGCTTTTATGGTGAAATGCCAGAAAATTTTTTCAGTAACATTTAGCTTCATCAAATGCTTATTGCTTATTCCTGCAACTACATTCGATTGGTAGAATTATACGTCACCTCTTCTTCAGTTATCAGGAAAGCCCATAAATTCGTGATTTCCATATGAATTTACAATGTGTAATAACACTTACAGCAGCCTGACAGTTGTGGACATGTTACTGGAAGCAAAATGGAGACTGACTACACAAGCGATAACAAGGCAGTAAATTTTAAACTTACTAAGGTCACTCATTAGCAGGGCCTGGATTTTGATGACATAAAAATATTTTAAAAATAAGCGAAAAAATCCAGAAAAATGATGTATAAAATGACCAAAAATCCAGAGAAATGACCTATAAAATGACCGAAAAATCCAGAAAAATTATCTGAAAGTTAAAAAACAACCTAAAAGTGTCTCATGTCATGGAAAATCTACTAATTGTTTCAAAATGTATTTTTAATCTTTATTAACACTGTGAACTCAACATTACTCTTTTAACTTCGTCCTCATTTTTATGTTGAAAATTAAGCAATATACGATTGAATTTGAAGCTAAATGTTTTAATATGATTTTTTGTACCACGTTGGAACGCTTACCAAATGTACATATACGGTATATATTCCAATATTTAAGTACCACCTCATTCAAAGTTGCAATAGATGGCAGTCAACATGCTGCCAGTTTAAAATGTTTTGTGAAATATGTCAGCACTTTCCACAAAGTGAACAGAAAGGACGGGACATTATTACAACTTATTATTGCAAACTGAAGTAGCAGGTATGTGGGGTGCAGCTGCAGGCTGCCTTTGTAGAGGCAGGAGAAAGAGAAAGAACACTTTACTTGCATCTTATTCACATTTCTGAAAACATATGAAGAAAAATTCCCTAACATGGCTAAAATGGAAAAAATACCCTTAAAAGTCCAAGAGTTTGCCGAGAAATTATCCCCAAGCCAAAAAATTGACGAAAAATGACAAAAAATGACCTATAAAGGTTACATTTCTCTAACCAGCAGCTGATCTCCAGGATTTATATATTTACGGGCTTCGAATAGGATACAAGGAAAAAAGATGACATGTCATCAAAATCTGGGCCCTGCTCATTAGTATGTAATCTTTAAGAACAGTTATGCCTTTGCAAACACACTGATTTTTTTTACACATGGCACATGTAAGTTCCATTAAATCAAATTTAGTATGACACTAAAAAAATTGCTTCATGAAGATGGTTCAGAGGTCTATACTGTACTTGTTCAACTCAGTGATGCATTTGCCTTGAAGGAATTTCTTCTCACAGATCACACGTTAACAAGACTTTACAAAAGACAATCTCTGACATTACAGATTAGCATACTTCGTGCCATATACTGACAAATATCAGATGTAAAATATATAAAATTTCTTGAAGCACTTTGGATATATTATTGAATCACAGAACACATTATAATAATGATGGTAGGTCTAAAATATATATTAAATTGCCAAGGCTTGCACTAATGTTTTATTGCCTGCATGAGCAACAGGAATATTAAAAAAATATTCATCACAATTCATCTCTAGTAGACATGATATCTGATACAGATCTTCTCATAGGAGGAACCAGCACATCTGACAATTCATAGAAGTATAATTTTCTAAGACTCTCCTGATACCTTTCATAAACTTCTTGTATAGCAATGTATTCAATGCTGTCTTCTTGAAGCCTATCTACTGAGCCCAGAATGAGATTAACTTCCTTCAGGTGTTGGAGTCTATATACATTGTGTTTCAACTGTCTGTGAGCTGCAGTATGATACAGACGTAGTTGAAAAGGGTCCAGTGAAGATGAAAGCTTTAAGACATGCCATCTCATTTTTATTGACTTGTATTGCTTTAGACTGTTGGAAATAGCAGTCAGACTCTCACGTCGCACACGAGCAATGCAGTCTCTTGCTGATTCAGCATCCTGCTGCTTGCCCCAGCCAGCACACAAGCCTATCATTCCCCATAAACTTCTTTCTTCTAGCTCAAGATTTGCCAACACAAAGTTTACCAAATTTGTAACCGTTATTGGATGATGTCGTGGAAAAACACGGCTCTCTGATTTCCTGTAGAAACAAAGAGGAACTTTAGTATGTTAATCTTATTTTCTCTAATCAGAAGCAAAGAAAAAGTTCTGTTAGCATAAAAAATATTGATGTCAGAGAAAAATGGAGCACTTAGTAAATTTCATTACCTGTAACATTAAATCCTTCTCACACAGTCATTCAAGTAACCAAAGAACTTCATTGTGAAACCACAAGATGCATTACAATGTTCATAAAAGTCTGTCATTACATTCAGAATTGCTGGGGTTTTTGGACTTGCCCATTGTTCAGTATTCCAAAAAGACACAAAACATCTGAAACTGGGTCTGTTTCCATCCTCAGGTGGTGGGTTGGATACACCTACTCTGTTGGGTCCCTTGGAAAGAGCTAACCTCAATCACTGGACCATCCAAGCATTGTCCAGTGATTGTGGTTAGCTCTTTCTAAGAGACCCAACAGAGCAGGTGTATCCAACTCACCACCTGAAGATGGAAACAGATCCAGCTTCTAAAATGCTGTGTTCTTTTGTCTTTAGAATAGCAGGCAAATGGACTAAGTTCAAAAACTCAGAAATCCTGAGTGTTATATGCCATCGTCAGAACCGTTTAGAATCTGTCACTACAACCTATTCTGAGCCAATTCAATTATGTGCATCTTTACAACCTTTTTCGTTGAGACCCACTTTAAAATACACTGCTATAAAAGCTTTCAGATAAAATAACAGGAATATAACATAAGATAAAGATTATTGTCTTTATGGATGTTAATGCCATATAGTGTGGCAGACTGTTACCAGTGCTCTGGAAAAATCTGAAGTCTCATTCTTCAGGGTAAAATGGAAAGCTGAGCATGGGGAAAATGGTAGAAATATAGGGACAGACAGCAGAGGAACTAAGGTCCTAGGTGAATTATCAAGGGCAAGAACAACAGCATAAAGGATACTGGTCATGGAGATGGAGGCAGCAGATTCCTCTAAAACACTGGTAATGACCTATACACTACATGGCATCAGTCTTAGGGGATAGTCATTTTCATAGTCATTGTCATGATAACATCAAATCTATATTACACAATATGCCATCATCATTATGAATTATCCAGATGAAAAGTTCAAGATGCCACAATATGGTACCATCACTGCAATGGTGAAATTCACTGTGGGGAAAGGGGAAAGAACTCTGTTAAATTGTTCTCTCAGTGTCTACCATTCTTTGCTTTGCTAAGTGCTCAATCTTTCATTCACACCAACTGCAAGAGCACAGATAACCTGAAAGGTCATAGTGTTATCAGAAGTGAAACAAAGGGGGTTTTAAGAATATTTATGAACTAATGCTAACTCTATGACACAGAGATTTTCTTGAGATGCCAATGCTTATTTAGCTGACAAGGAAATTCCTCGTCTCCTTTTGAACCTGGACGTTCATGACCACTTTCACAACAGCCTTTCACTTGTTCCTTTTCTGAGCCTGATTAATCCACTTTATACCTTATGTCCTATTTCTTTTAGATAACTTTCACACCATCCACACACCTATAATTAGGCCTCACAAGTGGTCACCTGCCTTCAAATTTTCTGACTAAAATTGTTTATATGTATCTTTCTAATCTCTCCCATAGATGCTACACACCCCAACCTATTTCATTCTCCTTGACTTAGTACCTCCAATATTAACTGGTGAATAGCATATATTATGGAGCCATCCACTGTAGCACTTTCTCCAGCCACTTTTACATAATTTCTCTTATGTCCACACATTCTCAACATCCTGTTCTCAAATACCCATAATCTAAAATTCGCTTAGTGGGGGGTGGAGTCCAACTGGGTCCACTAGGCATGGAGGCCACTGACTGGCCTATTGTAGCCTGCCCTGGGTGATTATGATGATGGAGAATTTGGTGGAATGAAGATTGACGGAGGAAACCGAAGTACTCGGAGAAAACCCGACTTATCGCCACTTTGTCCATCACAAATCCTACTTGCCCAGACCCGGGATCAAACCTGGGCTGTCACAGTGGGAAGCCAGTGACTAACCGCTTGAGCTATGGCATGGCCTTACCCACAATCTAGGTTCTTTTCTTGGAATTAGGGACTGCAGTTCACATCTTGATACAAATACTACAGGGGATGGACAAAAATATGAAAACACCTCGTGAAATATGTGCCTGAATTGAAGTGTTTATTTTAGTGACGTTTGTAGGTCACGCTGTCATATCTGCCCAACACCACTACCTGTACAACCTCCGCAATACACTGCAAGCTTCATTTGTTGTCGAGACAGTGTTCTGTGCAATTTTTTGTGCATCACATCAGAGCTAACAGAATTCGAACGCGGGCAAATTGTTGGCGCCCATATGGTGGGTGCTTCCCTAAACAAGGTAGCAGAGGTTTTTGGTGTTTTGCGAGGCACAGTATCCAAGATTATGACCGCATACAGGAGGACTGAAAAAACTGCATCTGATAAACACCAGTGTGGACAGAAATGTGTGCTGAGTGAGACAGATGAACATTGTGCAGGATTGTGATGAAAAATAAGAAGACTACAGCTTCAAAAGTGACTGCTGAACTGAGTGTCATGCTCACAAACCCTGTCAGCACCAAAACAGTAAGAAGGGAACTCCACAAGCAGGGTATTTCTGGACGAGCTGCAATTCCAAAGCCACTCATCAGTGATCAAAATGCCACTAAGAGGACAGTGTGGTGCCAAAGTCATAAAACCTGAACTATGGAGCAATGGAAGACGGTCATTTGGTCGGATGAGTCCACCTTCATGCTGTTTCCGACTTCTGGCTGAGTTTATGTCTGGAGAACGCCATCCCAAGCTTATGATCCAGATTGTTTGCTGCCAAGAGTGAAACATGGCAGGGGTTTGATCATGGAATGGGCAGCCATATTGTGGTATTCTGTCGGACCCATCATTACCCTGCAAGGTCATGTCACTGTCAACGACTATGTGACCATTTTGGGCGACCAGGTCCATCTCAAGGTGCAAACTTTGTTCCCTAATGGTGATGCCATTTACCAAGCCAACAATGCCTGTGTTCACATAGCTCACATCGTCCAGGACAGGTTTTCTGAGAACGAAGATGAAGTGTCATGTCTGCCATGGCCCCCACAATCGCTAAATATCAATATTATTGAGCCTTTGTGGTCCGTTTTGGAGAGCAATCTGCGTGCGCACTATCCACCTCCATCATCGATAACAGAACTTACCATGTTTTTCAGGAAGAATGGTACAAGATTCCCTTCCAATCATACAGGACCTCTATTTATCCATTCCAAGGAGACTGCAAGCAGTTCTGCAAGCCAGAGGTTGTCCTACACCACATCAGTCATGGTAATGGGTTTTTTGTTGGGTGTTTCCATATTTTTGTCCATCCAATGTAGTTGAGTTACTGTTTTGTATATTTCAGCTTCATTTTTTTGGTGGAAAATGAGATTTGATATTGTAGTTTCCAATCATTCGAGTTTGTCATATTTTTGAAGGGTTTATTGGCTATTTCTTTTTTGGCATAATGATGATAAAACATGGATATACACAGTATGTCTGCATTTAGGTCTAGGCTAATCTCCTTACTAGCATCTAATAGAGCATATATGTTTTTATTTAGGTACCTATGTTCTCACACATTATTTAATATTATGAGCACAGATTAGAAGCTGATGCATCCAACTAAACTCCAATCCATCCTTATATTTTTGGGACCTACCTATGTCACATTCTAAAGTAAAGTTGAAAAACAATGGCAACAAAGTATCTCCTTCTTCTGGGACATTCTGAATAGAAAAAGAAAGTGTTTGCCTATATAGACTTATTATAGGCATGTTTAATTAATTAACACTGTTAACTTCATGGGTAAACCAAATAAATGAGAATGTTGTAATGGGCTTTCTTGAAATGTATATACAGCTGATGCATGTCCCATTGTACTCCCATTTTTTCTCCAGTAGCTGATGAATGCCATGTATATGATCAGCAGCTAATGATAATGATACTTCTCCTTTCTTTCATTTATTTATGGAGTTAACCTAAGAGAAGAATATAATTCTTTTCACAAGGTCAGACAGTAGTGTGGTTGGTTGAGGCACTATGCTACAAGCCAGAAGATGACGAGTCTGATTCCCGATGTCATTGGATTTCTTATTTGACCTAATCCTTTCAACCCTGGAGAAGACTCAGCCTCTAACAGGAATGAGTGCCAGGGATCTTCCTAGGGGTAAAGGGCAGCCAGTGCACAAGGCTGACAACCTCACTGCCGTCTGTGAGTTACTTGTCTAGAAAATGTGGAAGCCTCGATATTTCACAATATGATGGGCCTCCACGGCATCTTACAGTGATAGCTTTACCCCCCCCCCNCGGCGAAAACAGAATTGTAGGATAATGGTGCATAGTGAACTCCCATGGTAAGTCATTGCTTTCACCATCGATGCGCGTGAATGTGAGGTGCTGGACTGTACGAAAGTATCTTGCTACTGTGAGGTAGATGTGGGACACACGATGGCAGAATGTACAGTACGGAGAATGGTATAAGAGTACCACTGACTGGAACAAAGCAGAAAAAGATTAAATGGTTCTACATGTATATGTATGGAATCTTGTTATCAGACACTGTGGTTTTGAGTGGCTAGCTCTCCTACCTCACATCCAAGAAGGCTTTGGTTCAAGTCTCAACACAGAGACCTTCTCTATCAACTGAGCTTTTCCACAGCTTTTTATCCCACCTGGTAAATGTCACAATAGTACAAGCACCACAGATCTGGCTAATACTGCTTCCTTCCACAGCCTTTCCAATTCATTAATTATTGTACCATTTGATGCAATGTAATCTGATCATAACTAAATTTTTATGATGTATTTAGAGACCTGATCAAATACATGCAGTAGTTCTGTATAGCAGTTGTCCTTTGTATGCTCAATGCAGAAGAATTTTCTTCTATTCTGAACATACTCCTCCATGACATGGCTATCTACCAAACTAACATGCCTCATATACCAGAAAACAGGAAGCTTCATAATCACTGTGGTGAGAAACAAAAATTTCACAATTCTAGTGGTGTCAGTAGCAATGGAAAAGTGACAGATTTAGAAGACAATGATAGTACAGAGGAGTCAGAGGTTAAGTGGATGTGGAAGGCAGAGAGAAACAGTATGGAAATCATTAAGAGTTTTGCAATCTATGGACTGTGTTACTATGTCAAGAAAACTGGGTGATAGTCCAACAGATTGTGATGTGTTTGGTGAACTTCTTGGGAACAATTTTTCGGGTACAATTAAGCTTGAAACAAATCACTTAATGATCCACAGAGACAAAGGCTGAAATCAGATGACAAATGGAAGTCTTGTACTACAGGAGAAATACTTGCTCATGCGTCAAGAAAAAATATATATAAAATTTACTGGAATACAAGTTGATGGAAACTATAATATTCAGAGATACAGTAAACCTTGCTAATCCAGAGTAAGTGGGGGAAGAGGTAATCCAGATTAGATAATAATCTGGATTAGTGATGGAAAATGTAGGACTAAAAACACAAAATATCTTAGAGCACAAATAAATGGAAAATTTAGTGACAAAGGTATAGCTGATAAAAAAAAAAAGCATCACCATAAAGCCTGAACAGCATTCTTCAGCAGTGTGTCCATTTCAACATCTGAAATTGCTGACCCATCTTCATGAAACCTAGTATGAACGTATTCCACTGGAGGTCATCCAAACATCATCCTTTTTAATTTCTTGTAACCAGTAATAACAACACGGTGGACACATGAACTTGTGGAAGCTATACCAGTACCACTTTACTTCAAGGTCCTAAAATAATTTTTGGTAACACATCTTGAAAAATATGCAATTTTTTTCATGTAATTTCTTCTACAGAATTTAACATAACAACATGGTTGTTGTAAAATATTTCATTTAGCTTTAAGTTTGATGGCAATAACTAATGTCAATGGGAGTTGGGCATATGAAAGTTGGCACACAGATAATCATAAACATAAACATTACATATGAAATATGGTTTGTAAATTAACAATTACAAACAAGGCATGAGAGCCTCCCACAATGAAGCTAGTGCTACCCAATCAGCGCTCACCATGGCAGCTCCAACACCCATTGGTTCGTGCATCGCCTAGCGACCAAAGTACAAAGATGTGGATGTCCGACAAGCTAGCATCAGTCACAGCTACGCTTACAGCAAGAGAACAATGCAACAGTGAGTGTACTAGCAGCAGCACCTGCAGCCAAATCCACCAGCAATCGCCGGGGCTCATCAGGCGAGCCGGTCTCACCATCACTAGCGCTGGCTAGCTTGCTGTGACAAGAACTTCATTCAGCATCCAGCTAGCAGCAACTTGAATCCACTGGGAAGCTCACTGCCCAATGGTCGGTTCACAAGCACCAAGCTGCCCCAGAAGGAAGACCGCCCACGCTAGCATAGGCCAGCTGGCTGGGAAGAGAGCTTCGCCCAGCATCCAGCAGGCACCCGGCTTCCAATAAATGGCCCTTTTCAGGGACAACAATATCACGCATCAATAGCCCAGCCCACTACAAAGGGAATTTCACCGGCATTCATCAGGCATGCTCAGCTTTCCTCTTTGTCTGTAATATTCATTCTAACAGCAACAAACATTTGTTATAGTTTTATGTGGCTGTTTCTTCGAGCCTTGACGTCCCACAAAGGTGTAGTGCAAAACTCAGAGGTTACATTCAACAAATTAAAGACACAGAATCAATATTTAAATATTACTCATAAATTAAATACAAAATACTCTACACAATAGGAAATATGTTTTATGAGCTATCCTTGGAATTCCTTGTTTCTTGTGGTTAAATGGACAATCTGAAATCTTAAAATTTATGTGTTGTTAAAGAGTTAAACCTTGTTCAGTCATTTGCATAGATTATCAGAATTTTACAGTACATAAGATATCATAAACTAAATTCCCTGATTCTTCCAAAACGTATTCCAGCTGCAAAATACTGTAAACACTACAGATACTGTATACATTTCTTTATTAATATAGTGCTGGCCCACATTTTGCCTTCAATATAGCCACATTCCTTCTTGGAATGGACTTATTCAAGTTTTGAACAATCCCTAGTGGAATTTTATATCATTCTTCTTGAAGAACATCTTCAAGTTGCTTTAGAGATGTTAGAGGTGGGAATCTGTTCCTCACTCTAGACTCCGAAACTGACCAGAGTGGTTTGGTGATGTTCAAATCTGGTGATTGTGCTGGCCACAGAAAATGCTGAATTCAGCTTCATGTTCTTCAAACCATGACTGAACAGTTCCAGCTGTGTGAGTGGGAGCATTGTCATCTTCAATAATTGCATTCTTATTCATAAATAATGTCTGGATCACATGATGCACCTGGCTATGCAGGCCATCCACATCATCCCTTGCAGTAATTTGGCCATGAAGGAATATAATGGAACCATCAGGATACTGTACCACAATATTGCTGCCCAAACCATCACAGAGGACCCCCCTCCCCTTTCAAAATCAGACAAATCTCCCATTTTCCGATTCTTTCACACTGACTGCCACTCAACAAAATCACTAACGCACTTACATGAGCACTACTGAGTTTAAACAAACAGAAGAACAATCAGTGTTGCCAACTAAAGTTCTTTCAATGTAGCCAACACAAATTACAATCAACTATAGCGCTTCCATTACTGTCCACCCCCTGTAAATAAGGATCAGGAACAACAGTCTACCTTAATAGGTTAATTAAAGATGCTTATCTTACTAAAGGAAAAGACATTCTGTAACACAAATACAATAGATATGTTCTACATTAGAGTATAGAATATTAAATACAAGAGCTACAAACTCATTTACGTGCTTGGCTGTTAATTTTGTAACTCTCTTTGATATACCATTCAATGTAAACATGAAATAGCTGTTCATCTCCTTTTCATCACACAATGATATCACTTCAAGAATAATGTTTCTCTCGAAGCTGTTAACAAATTCATTCTACAGGCTGCACGTATCAATCGAATTTGGTTTGATAACAGCATAACTGCAAAATGCTGGCCAGTAGAAGAGACAGTAAATGGTGGCTTACAGTGAGGAAAGAAATTCTTCCTAAAACACAATGGAAGTGAAGTCTCAGCTTGCTGTTCACATACCTTCCATAGTTTCATAGTACATAGTGGAACCTACCTATTTAGGAACAATAACTGGAATAATGTCATAATTCTTATGTGTTATTTGTGGATGTTACCACATTTACTTCTGTACTTGATCAACTAGTGTCACAGACTACACAATGCCCTAATATAGACAATAATTCCTAGCACTTACCACATTCTGAGCCATGACAATGTGATGGAAGCTGTTGGAATTGAGTTCTGGGACACACACCACACCTTGCTGCCAGCAGTCTTCCATGTCTTGCTCAGGGTAATGGTTCAGTGCACCACCTGACAAACTGCTGCTTGACCGCAGTGATCTGTTCAGCAAACCATCAGTGTAGTTCTTGATGAACTCCAACATGGCTCCCTTGCTGAACTCTGTATCAAGGATGTAACTGCTTTCTTGCTAGAATATAAGTACAGGTCTAAGCACTATCACACTCAGAAACATTGCTGGAAATGGTTTTCTGGAAGTCTTTTTGGCACTGTATAATGCTGTTCTGAATGTCTTCAAGGGATTCAAAATGGAAAGCCAAACAGAGAAAAATCCGGCAAATACAGTAGCTGTTCCCTCACTGGCATATGGCTTTTAGCAAATACATACAAACAAGAACTTTTACCAAAGTACAGAGTTGGAAAGCACCTGTCTTCATGAAAAATACACTTGTATAGAAAAGGATTTGGTCCCTCTGTCATTCAGTCCTAAACTTGAAGACACAATGGATCACCACGGATTCTGAAGGAACAAATTCATGAAATGTATCACAAAACTGATCAGCATGGGTATGAAGTTTCTTCTTGACATTCATACTCTTTTCAATCTTAGAAGTTACATTTTTCCACCGGAGACTTCGGCATTTTGTTTCTGGTTTACTTAACAGACTTGATTCCCATCACCAGTCTCATATTTTTCAAAAGGCCTGGTTCTTCATTCTTGCTGAAAATTCAGAATAATTGCTTTCTCTTATCATGTACTTACTGCTGAGACTACATGTTACAATTTTGGCACAAACTTCTTTCATGTTCAGATCTCTGGAAAAATTCATTCTTACAGTTTCCTTATTCACATTATTTCATGCCCATTTCTCATAATTTCAGTTTATTTCTATATTTGGATGAGTTATTTAAGTGGTTATTTTTAATGTCTTCTCTTCAATTCTGTGATCACTTAACCCACACAAAAAATGTGTTTTACTCACTGTTCCCTCTCCATAAATGTACTATAATATTCTGTAAATGTCACTGTCATTTTTCTCTGCTTTAAATAAATATTTACTGTTCTATATTCTAAAAAAACCACACAATAAACTTAATTCAAATGAATGTTTAATGTAAAACTGCTAAATCATGTGATCCTATGTGTGCCAATTCACCAGTGTTTTCAGTTACAGTGTAAAGCACCAGTCCAGTTATCACTCTGGATGTTTGTTTGACCGGATTCAAACTCCCTGCACCATTCTCTGATATAATACACCTCTAGCAATCTGTGGCGAATTTCAAGGGGAGAAACATGTNTATTCAAACTCACTGCACCATTCTCTGATATAATACACCAATATTACACCATCATTATACACCTCTAGCAATCTGTGGCGAATTTCAAGGGGAGAAACATGTTTAACCCATAAAAACTGAATGACACTACAAACTTCTTCATGCAACCGTGTTTCCAGTGTTATTGCCATTGTACTTTAACTGCAAAACAATTCCCTTACTTTCTGTCTGACTGGCTCTTGCACCATCTGTTGCATGTTAGCCATATCCCCACCCTTACTAAGTGCTACCACCTACTGAAAAAACAAAAAGCTTGACTAACGCAAAAATTACAGGCTTGGGTATCTCACTTCTTGGATATGCCTCGTACGTTTGTGAACCTTAGTGAAATTTAGGTCTAGACTGAAATACAAACAGTTTCAAATATTGTGAACATATTATAACAAATGTGCAACTTACAACAACATTGAAGATAACTATGGCAGTCTTATCATGCCTTGCCAACACGTCAATACCAAGGCCTGCTGCAAACTGGTGAAACTGCAGTGAATCCATAGCAATGAGAGACATTGTTTTATTGGTGTTGCAGGCTAACCCAGTGAAGTGTCTTGGTGACTTGCGATGGTAAGCAGAATGTGGAAATACTGGATGATGTATACGTTTTGCTCTACGGAGACGACGGCAACGTTCAATTGAAGCTGCTTCCTGGAGAGCATCTGACGAACGCTCATCCCCAATTCCAGTCAACATTGAGGTATGGAAACTGTGGGAATATACAACATAAAAAACAAATACATTCAAACTACAATAACAAATATTCATCCCTTTGATGTAATATCTAGAGTATGCTATCCTTTCTATCTTCTTCGTGTATAGGAAATTAAATTAATACCTAATAGGAAGATCACACGTCTGTCCATCCACATTTCAGCTCAACTTCTCAACAGATTTCAGTGAAATTTCACCTTGGGGGAGGGCAGGATGTTTCTCCAAACAGTCATTAAATTAATTTTTAATAGAGTGAATGCACTACTTTCCATGAAGCTAAAACTGAATTTACTGAGGATATCAGTTAATCTGCTACTTTCCATGAACCTCAAACTGAATTTACTGAGGATATCAGTTAATCTGATACTTTCCATGATGAAAAGAATGAATTCAAAACAAACAGCCTGGGCAAAAGTATTTCAGACACCAATAGAGGCATAAATGGATTTAAGAAGTGATATTGTCTGATGAAAACAACAGGTTATAGTTCAGATGTTTGGATTTATTAGCACTTCAGTTACACCCGTTCTCTCAGTTATGAGGGTAAGTCAATAAGTAAGTTACAAATGGATACAGAACTTAAACAAATAAGAGTACTGATTTGAAAAATGTTTTTTTTTTATCAACATACTCGTAATCTCCCTGTACATTGAGGCACTTGTCTCATCGTTTCACAAGCCCCTGAAAATCAGCAGCATAAAATTTTTCGGGCTGCTGTCGGAACCAGGCAGTGATTTCCCTTTCTACAGCTTCATCATCGGGAAAATGTTCAGCTGAAAGATGATGTTTAAGAGGGCCGAACAAATCGAAGTCGCTTGGAGCAAGGTCAAGGCTATATGGGGGATGCTCGAGGACTTCCCACTTGAAATTTTGCAGCATCTCATTTGTCTTGTTGGCAGCATTGGGATGCGCGTTGTCATGCAAGAGCAACACGCCTTTGGTGAGGAGTCCTGGTCACTTCCATTGAATGGCCTTAAGTAGTTTCCTGAGGATGTTACAGTAGGAGTCAGCATTTAAGGTTTGTCCTTGAGGCTGGAATACGGTGAGCAGTATGCCTCTGTGATCCCAGTCACCGCCTGGTTCTGACAGCAGCCCAAAGAATTTTATGCTGCTGGTTTTCAGGGGCTTGTGAAATGATGGGACAAGTGCCTCAATGTACAGGGAGATTACGTTGACAATAAAAGCATTTTTAAAATCAGTACTCTTATTTAAGCGCTATATCCATTTGTAACTTACTTATTGACTTACCTATGTACAATCAATACATTGCTATCACTGATTTACACAATTTACAATTCGCTCCACACTAATCCTCTCAGACTATTTCCACTAGTCTTCACTATCCGTTTCCTGGCAAAAGATTTCAAGAAAGAAACTAGCACTTCAGATCACTATGAAGTCTTCTTGTTATTTTGTCTTCAATCTTTACTTCTCTGTCCTAATCTGTACTCAATCTTCAAAATTCACCAAGGACATGCTCCATCCTTGTCCTTGTGCTCTCAACTGCGTAACCTTCCTGGACTCTCCTTAGCAGAAAGTGGACTTGTCTTATATAGCAGCAGCACAAACAATGCAGAAAACACAGCTCCATTGCTGCATATGGCAGACCACACAGAAACAAGTCATGTAAAAGCTACCTCGCCACTCCATTGGTGTGCTGACTGTTGCCTAGCAATGAGCTATAAACATTTGCCCTATTGTTGTGTACGTCTGTCGCAGGATGTTTCTAAAGCCGTTGCCTTGCAATGTGTTGACATGTCACATTGCTACCTCATATCTGTCCCAAATAGCCTAAAGGTGTCTCCCCTTTTCTTCCTTTCCGGGGGGGGCTGTGCTTTCGACGTCTTCCTGCAAGTTGTTGTTGTTGTTGTTGTTGTTGTTCTCTCTCCCTTCCCCCTCTGCGGTGGCTCCTCGCTAACTGCTACCAGTGCTCCCTCCTTACCACCACTTTGTCCCGATTGGTTCCCTTATAAGGTTCCAGTTGGTCCAGGTTCTCACCACCATCCAAAGGTTTTCATCTTTCTTCTTCTCTTTCCCACAGAGGGCCATAAATCCTGGAGTAGCCAGTATGCCCACATATCCGACTCTTCCGACACTAATGATGCTAATAGGTCTTTCTTCCATTTTTGAGAGCACCAACTCCTCCACAATGCCCAGTTCTTAATTTTCTGCTCTTGAGCTAGCCGATCCCTACCCTACGTCTAGCTCCTCATGTTCCTTAATCTGCTGGACATCCCGGCTGCTTGCTGCATTAACTCCAGCTGAAAGCCTACCTGTTGTACTCACTAACATTTCCTGTGCTTTCATGTCATAGCTTCTTCATGTCTCGTTTCTTCAGATATTGCAGCCGTCTGCCACCTAGGTCCTTCACTCCTTTTCTGCCTTCATGGCATGTCTGCACTCTCTCCAGAGCATCTGTACTCTCCGGATCCCTTGCGCCATGCAGTTCGTGTGGCAGGATACCTTCCTGCAGGCGGCAGCCAACTTCCTCTGGGATCCACAATTTCCTTGGATCAGTTCCTTTGGCTCTCTGTGTCGCCTTGCCACTTTATGCTGGCCCCTGCACTGCTTCTTCAATGTTCCCAAAGGTTTCACCGTGGCCTCTTCCATAGGGACCTCCAGATGTTCCACTTCAGATTCAATGTCTTCCAGATATAGCTTCTTATTGTCCAGACACACCTCCGTCATTACTTGCAGGACATTGATTGACTCTCTTCAATCATCCTTCATGTCCACTATCAAGGCATTAACTACAGACTTCATTTCCACTTGGCCAGATTTTATTTCTTTTCCCCTTTCCTTTAGATTTATGTTCATCATTTCTTCCATCATTTACTTTAGATCTCCATGGTCAGTTTTTCTTTCAGCTTTCCTTTCTTCTTGATCAATTTTTATGTCTTCTTGAAGGGAATCCAATCTGGCCAACGTCACTGGTACCACCATTTGCTTCATTTTCAGAGGGTGACCCTCCATTTAGTGGATCACTCCAATAATTCAGCCCAATTGATTAATTAATCCAATCCCTATAACGTCTAACAACAGTCGTTATGTATTTTATGGTTGCAGTCACTTCTGATGTATCCAATATGATCCAAACAGCCTATGATGATCAGGGCACCACAAAGTATTGGTCAACTAATTACCTATATTACATTCTAGTCCATTCAAAAGTTTTGAAATGTGACCAGGTTCTACATGTACTGAAATTTGTTCATTTTGAAAGTAATGAAAGTGTGTCCAATTTATGACAGGGTATGGAAATTCCGAGGGTTTTTCAAATACTTCAGTAATACCCATTCTCCATTGTAGCACCCTACAGAAAATTTTGATGTGGAAAATATAATTGTGAAATTCAAAGAGGTACTTCTGACAGTATATCCCAAAAGAGTGAAAAAAATTTGGAATAAAACTGTACAAGCTCTGTGACAGCAATGAGTGGACATATCAAGACAGTTTATCTATGGAGAACATGGGAAAAGATGTCACCCCTACACATGGAACAGTTTTCCAACTAACAGCATGTAAACCACCTCCGGGGCTCACTCAGCCTCTTATCCTATGAGTACCAGGGATTCTATCACCAGCTGAGGTGTGAAGCTGACCACTCACCTCAACTCACTGATCAGGCCAAGAATAATGAAGTCACCTTGAATGCTCCATATATCCATGGTGTGGCACTGAATTAATCAAGCACAGGGAAAACTTCCTTTTTATATTTTACAATCATGACATTTTCCCTCACCTTTTACAACTAGACATTTTCTCTTATAAAATTAATTAATTTGTATTAAATTTCCATAATTTTACAGCCTAAATTTTCCTTACATTTAACAACTTGTATCAATTTAAGGGATGTATACATATTAACTTCTGAATTCATAAATATACAAAGTGGCTTTTGTTACATGTAAGGTCTTAAAATATTACTATTCTACAGACATTTTAATCAAAAATAAGTGCAGAGACAAGGTCTAGCTGGCTCTATGCTATTTTATATACAACAAATATCATCATATAAAACTTCTCCCCCTCCTCCCCAGACACACATAAATATTTTACTGCATGTCTAATCATATCTGAGTACATGTTTCAGCTCATTCCCTTGTATTTGCACAGTTACCTGAGAGAATGGGAGTTTTTACAGCAAATATAATATCTATGCTGTGATTCAGTGAATGGTCCATAGTCCAAGTGACTACTGCATGTGACTCTCTCTTCTTTCTTACACTTCTTTGGCATGTTCAAATCATTTTCACGTACATGAGCACCATCATCATCTATATCTCCATGCAGCTGTGCACTGTGCCTTTCACAAATCCTGTACAGCTTCCTCCGAGTTTGTCCACTGTGGTAACTTCCATTTCTCCACTGTTCTCCAACCACATGAACTGGAAGAACATCTTCCTCTGACCTACGGTGTTCCTTCCAGAATAAACATTCAGTTTCAATCTCAGAGTACTTCTTCTTCATTTCTGGAAAATGGAAACAGATTATCTGCAGTAACACACTCAGTAAATGTTGGTTGCAGCATGCCTCTGGTACCATATGGGTATAAGATCAATAAAACTGATGTATATTGTATGGCATCTGCTCTGATTAACTGCAGGAACAGTATTTGACAATTATCTGTATGTCATCTCTGCTAGTTCTGTGTTGTTTACATCTGGAACAAAAAAATACTTGTGTGGTTTGTAATTTTTATTTTGGTTATTTGGTTATTCTCTCTGATTTAATCTGTAGTGTTGTGTTGATTTGCATGCAAGTACAGTGCACTGGTGCCTGCTGTGGTGCTTGTACTGAAGACTGGTGGACTGTGTTTCTTTTGTCTATGTAGAGGGAGGGAGAGTGCTGTTATCTAGTGACATGCCAGGGGAGGGTGTGGTTTCGCTGGTACTAGACAGTGCATACGGAAAAATCCCATAACCAGAAGTCTTCCAACTTCCTACAAGAAGCTACATATCCCAACCAGAACCCCTACCACCTGCTATGGCCAACCAATGGTGAAGTATTACTGTTGCTTTTATGAAGTGAAGTGGTCCAGTTAAAATGGATCCATCAGAATCGAATTATTCCAAGAATGAAGAGTGTCCATGGTAGTGACTTATACTCTCAGTTTACTGGACCGATTGAAGAACATGGAGGGCTTTTTTATAAATCTGAATTGACAAAAATAAGAAAGCAAAAATCTTTGATTACACTGAAAAAGATGTACATCCAAAAATTTGGCAAAGACATTGGTTGAAAGAATGAGAAGAAAATTCTTCAAACTGATGGACATAAGAGAAAATCCTGTATTCAGCAAAGTTCCAGGTATGTTTCTGATTCTGTTTAATCAGAGTTTGCCACACACACACACACACACACACGTTCATATAAAGTAAATATAAAGGTGAAAACTGTGATTTCAATGGAATAACAATTTTATAATTTAATCCTTTGCCAGAATTGTTTACAAGGACGATTTGTGTTGGAATCCAAAAAAGTGACATATTCACTCAGGTTCCAGCTTTCAGGACGTTTACCAAACCAGCAAAGAAATCGAGAGTTTCTCTAGCAGAAATGGACAAGAAAAAGAACTTAAGCACATCTGAACTGCAGCAACTGAAGATGATTCATCTACTACTCCAGAAATAATAAATGATTATATACAAAGGACAGTGTCTGGTGTGGAATTAATAAAAAAAGGCGTAAAAATGTGACCACACACTTAACTACTTAAACACTATTCTTCACCACAGCACTAGTTGCAGCTTAGTGGTCAGCTTCATGCACCAGGTGCTTTACCCCCAAGAAATGGGCCCCCATACCGACTGGATAGGAGGATGGGTGGGGCCCAGAACTGGTCTGGACAATGCTGAAAGGAGAAAATCTTGCTCCGACCAGGACTCAGACTCCAATCCATTGGCTCCCAAGCATGTAGCCAGTCACTGTACCAATTGTACTATCCTGGCTCACAGAATAGAATAGTACGAAACTGTAAAACATTTATTCTTGTACTGCATATCTCTGTCATTCAAGTTAACATGATTACGCAATGTTAAACATATATTCACAGGTGGCAGAGCACAAGGGTAAGGGTGGAAGAAGCCCTGCCTAAAATACTGGACATCTAATTAGATTCTATTTACTTCTGCTTTGCAATTGATAATACCTGGTAAAATGCATAAATGTAGATTATGTCAGAATTTCAAATATTTTACAATTTATATCACTCTTACTGTGCATCAGGACTCCTAAATATTTCTTCAGTATTGCACAGCCTGACTGTTGATACTGAAGCATCTCCAAGGTATGATGATTTGACTACTGGTACACAAGTGCAACATATGCTCCAATTGTACTAAGGAAGTGAGAGCACTTCATTCTACTTCTTCCCCATTCACTTCCTTTCACACAGGAAACATAATCCACTGATCAGCTTGTTTTATAATTTTAGTAAATCTATACTGTTGTTTTCTATACAGCCATCCTATGTATCTCCATGTCTTCTGCAACTCCATCTTGAAATCCAAGCTCACTTACAAAGCAAAAGAAAACTTACATTTTTTTGTTTTGCAAATTAAGCTGCTCCTTTCGTCTCAACTGAATGTCCACAAAAATACTCAGCCATCCAAGTAAACCTTTTCAGTAAACCTGTATAATTTCTTCCGATGTTCTTGCCGATACAAACCATTCACCATAACGTTTATCAGCATGAACACTTATAAATTGTATCATTTAGTAAGATAATATCTATGAGGTTGATGTTCAAGTCAGCTCTGGGGCACACTTGAAAAATGTTTGGAGGTTGCTACTAAAATCACGCAAAAGGCTTTTCTTTCTCTCCACTTCACACATCTGCTGGAAACCTTAGCCACTGTCAGGCACCTAAGTATTTCTTATTTAGCACTAGAATTTGCTCACTTTTACTCATTGAAATTCTGACTTTTGCTTAAATAATTGGCAGTTAGAGCTTCTGTTAGGTTTACTCACACTGCTTAATAATTCTTTTGTAATAAAAATATATGTTGCAATACTCTTAATACTCAAGAATGACACTGAATCTGATCCTAACCAGACCATTCCAGTCCTCATCTGCACTACCTATTTTACTCGATCCTTTCTAATGTTATCCTCCAATTTCACTCTCAATCTTTAAAGCAGGAATGTTCCATGAGGTCTTTCCACCAAAATACTGTATACATTTCTTGTTTTCTTCATGTCTACATGTCCAGTCCATAAGCATCTATTTAAAAATTCTAAGAAAACTAGGAGCTGTATAAATTACAACATTGCTGTGTTATATTCCCCATTCTTTAGTTACTTCATCTGTCTTAAATGATTAAAAATGTTCCTAAATGCTTAATTTATTCTCAAGTAATGTAATCTGAATTATGTTCACAAATTTTAATAAATTTGCCAACATCAAACTGTCCTAAAAATTCACGGAGCTGTTTTTGAGCTGTTACACGTGGAGACAGACTGACAGACTTGGCAAACCTAACAGGAACATTTTTACAACTGTTCATTGCAAATACACCATAAATTTGACAATTTAAAAATGTATGAACAGTACTACCAGTAGACATCATTCATTCAAGTAGATGAGGCAATGGTTAACCTAATAAAGACCAGTTAGTGTATTTGGACAACACGACATCATAATAAAATACTTATTTCTTACAACACTTATATGCCAAACTATGATATCTCAAAGTATCAGATACCATATCTCTTCCTACACTGCAACATTCTCATCACTAATATTGAGGCAAATACATTTCACACTTTCATTACTTTTAGAATATGTGATCTTTTCCAAATAACTCCTAAAATTTTTACCTGCTCGTTCACTGGCAAGATGTTTGGCAAGGTTCGAGACCCATGGGTTTAAATCACAGTTGTAATATTCTAGTCCAACTTCTCGCAGCTGCAAGCACAAAACATATGTTGTCATCTTCTATATGAACGCTCAACTGATTTGTACTTACTTCATTATTTAATACTAATACTGTTAGCATCAATTTGACTGACCCCTCGCCCCTCAAAAAAAAACTGCATTCCATTACAGCATGATTGAGAGTCATGAAGATTATGTGATATCTACCATTTTGGACTGCTACATACACCTATGCCTTGTGGTACAATTTTTAAATTACTTTAAAAGCACATACAAATATAAACAATATTCCATGCAAAATAGTTCAGTAATGCTTTTGCCTGAATATGTGCACATTTAAAAAAAATGTCTGGTATTCTTGAGTCTGGCACAGAGAAGACTGTTGAGGCTAAGCAGCTGTGAGCTTTCTGGAAGACAAATGATGGGTGATTCCAAAGGGTGAGGGAGAGGAAGCAGCTGTGGTCAACTTATATAGACTGTCTCAAAACATTATAAAGCAATCTATTTATTATCTGTGCATCGGTCTGTGCACAAGTAATGTTCAGATCTGAGGGAACTAATTCTAATTAAGTTTGTACAGGAGATATGTATCATTCATCACTGAGAAAACTTTATTCTGAGCTTCAACAATTCATCAGTGACATCCACTCAGACATATATTCCATCATTGCACATTCTGACTCCTAATCATTTGCCAGATCATAGCTAATTTACACTGAAAGCTGTCAAGTGAATTAATTTTTTTTTGCACTGACCTTCCTCAAACAACAAAATAACTTATCAGTATCCATAATACTTGCTGATGACACTAGTGTCATAATTTCTAGTAACATTTCTGATGATTTATGTGTGCTATCTGAGTTCTCTCTCATATGAGTAAATGGTTTGCCATTAAAAACCTGGCCCTGAATCTAAATAAAACAAATATAACAAAATTTATAAAAGATAATTCACCATAATATCCATTAATATTATATTTAAGAATCCTGTTGCATTAAGGTTCCACTTATAGTCTACCAAGCCGTGCCATAGCTCAAGGGGTTAGTCGCTGGCTTCCCACTGCGGTGGCCCATGTTCGATCTTACACTTATGTGAGGAATTATAATGCACTGTGCACTAACTGAATGTCATTCCTTTTATTACTTTTGTTAAATGGTCTTAAGGGTGGGATTGGCCAGGTTTAAATTCCAATCACTGGGGTACATTTAAAGAATTTTAAGCATGTTACTAAAAATGCTGTAACTAATACAACTTTTATAATAAATTAATTATATTATCCTTGTTTTTATGAAGAAAGAACATAGTTTTAAACAGTACAGTGTCAGGATTGAAAATTATTTGGAAAAAGAGTTATACTCCTTTTCTTGTTTTGCCTTTTTTCCTTGATGCTTGCTTTAAAAAAAGTGTCCACTTCTTCACAAAGTAGTTCTGCATTATAGAATCATTCTTTCCTATCATGTACCTTCCAGATGCTCACCATAAAATACACATAGGAGTAGCCCAGGGGTCAGCCTACACCAGCCTTCAGCAGTAACCATAGAACAAGGTTCACAGCTTTGTGATATTCTACTCCACTGACAATAGTTAAGTTACAAGAGGAAGCATTTCATTAATATACAGGAAACTCTAGCTTTACAGCTATATTTTTGTTATTAACAAAATGGTGGCATTGTAACTCTGGTACACAGGGAAAGGAATTTCTAACAGCTTCTTTTCTTCTTACAACGCCTTCAATACGGTGCTTTGAAAAGTGATGAATCAGGTAGTGGACATCACAGCAGCTGTGAAATTGTGACCTTTGTCTGGAATGCTTTGATGGGAACCCCACCAGGGCAAGAAACAGTTTGGATGGTGCAAGGGTGAACACCATACATAAACAAAATAGGAAACAACATGATATGGAATTTACATTGAATTTTACTATACATATTCAATGAAAGAGCATGCTGGGATTATAAAGACCTATCATTCAAAAACTGTTATACGACGGCATGTCCACAGTCTCTTCCAAAACAGTTCCTCCACTTAATGCGATCTTCTGTTTTTGGAAAGAGACTATCCAGGAAAAGTGATAATGTGGTAAAACAGCCGTTCAAACCACTCTGGTCACGCCTGTTACTATACGAACTTCAACCATCTCGAGCATCATTTGCTCTGTGCTACAAGTCGTTGCTGATGACGCTGCTTCCGGCATCAGTTTTTGGTTTTTGGTGTCCCTCTTAGTCTGATGCCTATCCTTTGACCTGTCCAGCAAGGGAGGCCCTTCCAGTAGCTACGCTACCACTGGTATAGCTCTCAGGGTCCTTGGCATACTCAAACCCCCTCACCACGAGAAGGTGGAGACACCAACGAGGGGGGAATTAAAATTCAAATTTTAAAATGTGGTGGAAGAACGTATTTTGGAAATGCTCAGTTGATGGAGGGTAGCAAGTGACATTAAGATGCTTTTGTTGGTTGAGTGAGCGATACAACTTGTGCACAAGGCTGGCTGTCAGACATCCCCAGCCCCACTACTTTTACCTCCCAGTGTGAGTCAGTGTCATTGTAGAGGTGGACCATGCAACAGAAGGCTGAGTTTGTTTCACGGTATGCAGAATTGAAGTCAGTTGTAAGAGTGCAATGTAAGTGGCCAAGGTTATATCCAGGAGAAATAGCACCAAATGACAAGGCTCTGAATCGTTGGTTGAAGAAGTTCAAAGAAATGGAGAGTGCTATGAAATTGAGAGAGGCGGGGAGATAAATGGGGGAGAGCATGCGCGGATGTGCATGTGTGTGTGTGTCAGCGCTGATGGCTATGTCCCTGAATAACATTAAAGGTGGAATGCCCTTTATAAAATCCAGTGTGAAAGTAGTTAAAACAGACATGGGTCGAACCAAAAAGTGGTTTAACATTTGGTAAAGTGCTCAACAAAACAGCAATAAATTTTATATTAACAAATGTTAATAAAACAGGCCATACAGAAGGCAGTAAAAATCTTAAAATAGTAAACATATAATGGTTCAAGTTGGAGCTAAAATGAAAGCAATTAAATAAACCTATCAATCTAGGTGCCACAAAGGACTGCCATGATGCTTGATATGTTCCATGATCATCTCCAAGGATGTTGTGCCACATACCTTGTAGATGAAATGTACAACAATTTTCACTACACTGTGGGCATTCTAAAAGTCTTCACTTATTAGGACATATTTCAACAACACTGCACTGACCAAATTCCAGTCCAGCAAAACATTTGCAATTCCAAATTCAGCTCTTTGGCTATAAATTTTTCCCACCCCTGGACTGTGGGAAGCACTTACCATATTGTAGTTGTAGTTCCAGTCCTGCAGGGGGTTTCGTGGGGTGAAAAGGATAAGAACAGACCCCTCCTCTACATATGGAGCGAGAGTGAGACTCTTCACTCCAGGTGGAGTCACCCATACAGAAACTAGGTGTGTATTTTCAAAGATCCACTTCACCAACACATCAGGGGTGAACTCTGCTTGATGAGGGTATTGCTGCAATGTTGTCCCAAAATGTACTGTATTTATGAACATCATGATTATTTGACAGGAATTAAATTAAATTTACCTTTTATATTCTCCAGTACTACTCGTACCTTACCAGTTACACAATGTAACTCAGGACTGTACCTAATCCGAATCACAGGTCACATGTGATCCTTGACCAATTTCAATATGGCCTACAAGACCACTTCATAATTAATATTATTATATTAAATATCTTGTGTTTCACTAGATTTCGTGAAGAAGTAAGTAATATTGTGATACCCACTGAATACTAACATCCAAGATGGCAGCGTCAAGATTCTGGCAAAGGCTCAATATTTTGAGATTACTTGAAAATATGATGAACAGATCTCTTTTCTCTTTGTTGTGCTAATTACCAGATACTTCTGAGTAAAAATGTTGATATAATAATGAATATTTTCTTATTCTCTCTGTTCTATATGTAGCTTGAATAACTGCTTATATATACTTCTATATAATTACAGCTAGTGACTTCTGACCTTAAAACGCTTTTTGGTCTCTGTCACCTTCTACACTCATAGCACAAGACATGTTCTCGCTAAAAACTTAAAAAAATAATTAAAATGGCTAATATACAGAATGAAATGAAATTCAAGCATAAGCTCTTCATAGCAATTCGTTGTCAAGAAACAGTTGAAGATAATGTCCAATATATGTCCTGTGATATACAGTTTTCTCCAGTTTAGAAAACTGAAATTAACGGCCATGGGGATTCATTGGTATACTTGCTTATCTCGTGGTCATTGCATAGTAACAGCCCTACATGCTACAATATATTCTTATAAAATTTAATAAATATGGTTCACGGAAATATGTTTTGTATAAAAGCTAAAACTAAACCATATACTTTTTTCATACAGTGTGTAATTTTTGGAATAATGATAATCAAATACTGAAGTAAACTTCAAAAGATAAGAGGTATATGAAATACACATAAAAAAAGCTACACAATTTGCTAAACTTTTTTTTTTTTCCAGAGTATGGACCACTTGTTTTTCACACATTATATCAAAATATGTTCACACTATGAATAATATTTGCCAAAAATGTACTCATCTACACCTAGTGCCTTCATTGCACACTGCTTAATTAATTAAGCACAGGGACAATTTTACCTTTAATTCTAAACAAATGTTAATTTCAGAAATGATCTTGACTTTAGTCTCACATAACAAATGATTACAAACCAGAGTCTCATTCCACATATAAATCCTCAATGTTGGAGTCCAATCAATCCCCATTTGGGCACTGGTTTCCATATCAGTAACAACAGCAAAGCCAATTTCTCTATGAGGATCTCTCTCCAGGAACTTAAGGGCTGTTGTGTAGAAGGAATAGTAACCAGGACTGCCAGCAATTCCAGAAAAGTTGAAAAATCCAACAACCACAGCCTGTAAAAGACGATAAAACGATTCAGAGCACACTGAACTGCTTCAAGTATTTAAGAATCATGTTACAGAAAACATTACATAACAGAAAGTATTGGTTCAACACTGACCTCATCCCACATGACTGGTTAGGAAATGACCGATATTTTTCACATAAAATATGCTTAAGATAGAAATATATACATTTTAATACAAATATATGTATTTGTGCCAACTGAGTTTTTAAGTCTCACAAAATGAAACCTTTTATACATTACTAAGTATACATGGCTGTAAGGAGCATTTCATAAGTCTGCTGTATACAATCAGTACACAATACAGACACAGTAAATCAACAACAATTATATTTTAAAACATACTTGCATATCTCCTACTCAATTTAGTCACCATCAAGATCAACATAATTCCCCAAACCAACGATACAGGTGATCTAGTGGAGTGCTGTAATAATGAATTCAGACAGCATAACAACATTATAATAGTCTTGTTGATAGCATCTGATGTCTTATTCATGGCATCAAACTGGTGTCCCCAGAGTAAGGCCTTCACAAAATTAAAGAAAAAGTAGTCATGTGGAAAAAGGTCTAGGGAACAATGCTGTACCAGCACCTCCAAATGCCAAACCAGCAGCAAGATTTGCCTGTCATAATGCATCCACTGCCTTGGAATTAAATTATGATACACTTAAACAGTTATCATTTCCAATCTGTGCAGGTTCATTTTATCACGTAATAACACAACAAAACAGGTGACACTAACTGTGGTGCAAACTGGTATGGCATAATCAAGTAAAAACCTCTTGAAGCACAGAACAAGGATTATTCTTATAGTGTAACACAGTTCTACAATCTTCTTCTGTTGTGAAATGGGGGAGAAGCATAAAAAAAAATTGATGCCTCAATTCTGGGCCAAAAAAATGCAGTCATGATTTACCAACTGTAAAAATTTTACAATGGAATAACACCCTCCATTTCACCAGTCATGTAAACAGCTGAAGGATTGCAACAAACAAACAGCTTCAAGATCATCATTCCACACATATAATTACATTTTAATTTAGTTTATGGTTCCTTTATGGCACTGACAGTAGCTCTAACTATACACCACCAAATGACAGGATGATTAATGAATACTAATTTGGAAAGATATGGAAGTTGTCATGCCAAGGCAATGTTCTGGAATTTGCCGCAAAGAACTTAGGGAAACCATGAAAACCTTAATGAGAACAGCTGATCTCTAGGCTCAAATCTGAGCCAAGGACATCCTGATATGAAGCTAACCACTCAACCATGATGTTCACTGAATCCACTTTGAATAGAGATCCTTACTCCCCCAGGGGTTCATGAAAGACATATGATACACCTGACGTCAAGATTTGCACTTCTGGTTTAACTGTCACATATTAAATGCTACCAGCAAATTTGAGCCCTACATGTGCCATATCACTTGCAGTTACTGCTACCTGACTGCTGGTGGCATACAATGTGCTGTCCTGCATGGCATTACTTTAATAAGTTCAGATGCTCACATGGCATTCTTCCCAACATGTAAATCTCGGCCACTGTCTTCATATCCATATGCTCGCCTCACTAACACTCTTTTCAGGTCCATGCCTTAGCATTACGTGAACATACACAACCACCTCCTAAGTGGATTTCACATCTAAGATGAAATCTTTCATGCAAACCCTTATGTGTTGGTGATGTAATATAAGAAACTTTTGAAATATACCTCGTGCATCATTTTTTATAGTGAAATTCCATTATATGTGCCACATTTTGCTTAATTTTACTTTTCTGGCATAATATTGAGCCTTTCCACTCAGTATGTGGAATAACTTCATAATCATGATACATCTGTCCATCCTCATCTTCCATCTCACAGAGAGATTCATATAAGGGGGGGGGGGACAGTCTTCTGGACTGTAATACCAGGTACTTCAGATACAGCCTGACATTTCAGAGGGAAGAATCACCTCCATCATCAGTGTCAAAGAATTAGGAAAGCAAGAAGACTCAGTTGGTATGTTCCTCCAAAACATCAGGCTATTTACAAATCACATAGCATTACAACCTAGAAGACCATACTCTTCACTCACACTGTGAGAGAACCTCAGATCTATTAGTATGCAAGGTCTACACTAAAACTTGTGGAGAGAACTTCACTTTGGTCCACACTATCATTTTTAACATCTATTTAACACAAAGCTCAAAACACATTTTGTCATATTTCTTCAAAACAATATACAGACATGATACATAAACAATACATGGAGAAAAGTTCTTGAGAAGCCAGCAGTTGCTTAGCTAGTGAAGAAATGGACCTAGAAGATTCATTAGCATGTTCACAAGAGCCTGCCACCAGACTCTATTGCAAGCTAGATGAATCCAATCCACATCATCATACCCTATTTATTTCAGATTAATTGTATTTTTCATCCATTTAAACTTGTGTCTTCTGACCAGTCTCTCTCCTTCAGGCTCCCCAAACAAATTCTGTATGCATTCTATATGCACATGTAAAGCTTTTACTGAAGCACAGTTCAATATGATGTAAATTCATTGAAATAAAAGAAGCAACACTGTGTGATCTGATATCTCTACTGTTCACTAGCTGCGTTCACAGATTTGACTTTGCAATAAATGTGCATCACAATTCAAGGCACAGACATAAAATTTCAAAGCATAAACCAGGGAATATCTGTGTACTGCAAAATGGAGAACATCCTTTCCTTCTTAGATAATGGACAGATGTATGAATGAATGCATGTATGAGGGGTAGGCCTTCTCGGCCCTTGCACCGCGACCTCAGAGGTCTATTGTGGTTCCCCTTTTTTAATTATTCCCTCAGCAACCCCACACTTCAGATGAAGCACAGGATTTTGGACGTGGGGACGTCAAAATAGTCACTTGGTTCCATAAAGTATTGACCCAAGTGACGTAGTCTTAAATAAGCTAAAGCCTCACATTCACACAGGATGTGTGTGTGGTTGTTTCGTTTTGTCTGACACCTCTCACAAGTGGGACTATCACTTAGTCCCAGTTTGAACAGGTGTCCTTTGAGGTGACAGCGTCCTGTAAGTAGTCCTACCACCCATCGTAGCTGGTTCCTGTTTAGCTTCAACAGTTCTTCACTCTTTTAGTGGAAAGGACAGATGTAAGTACTAACATCATATACACTCATGAGTCTGAGAACATCAGCAGGCCTGGTGATCCGTTCAATAGGACGCAGCACATACTCCAGGAAACGAATCATATGAGCTGCTTCCCTGATTCCCTTATACTGGATTCCCTTATTTTGTTGTGTGTACACAATTAGCACTGGAAACTGCTGCACTCTAGAGAACTGTTGGCGACACTCACTGTGAGGCTGCCAGCAGTTTATGGCTGCAAAATACACCTGAAACACAGTGGGTTGCCACACAGATGAGGAAGTTATTGAACAGAAATTACTTATAAAAATTAATATTTAAAAACTTGTTCATACATTAATCCTTTCTAGTTGACAACATATGGCTAACGTACATAATTCTTTCAGTGTAAGATGTCAAAATCAGACTGGTACAAACTGTTCTCCACATTTGTGCTAGATGTCAATCATACACCACAATGGTGGTTTTGTGTGGCAAGTACTTACCATACACCTACTGTCATGTGAACAGTTGTGCAGCATTCACATTAATCACGTTAACCTGGCTAACACTTCAAAAATGTTACTTTCACAGTTTATTGGTACTGCACATACTAGCAAGATAAGTTCTTACATGATGCATCATCTGCCACCTTTAGAGAGCTCATCACAGGCTTCTTTGCCAGTTCCTCATGGTTTACCAGTGGGCAACAGGGACCATTTTAGAGTGCATGCAAAATTTTAACATGCTAACTCGCATGAACTGACTCAGAAAACTGTCCAAACTTCTGTTACTTTGAGGCAGATATTCTCGCTAACATGCTAACTCGCATGAACTGAAGTAAATGGTGTAATAAAAAAATTAGTCAGCTCTGTAGCCACTAACTACTTCTTGGTTTACATTTTATTTCTCTTTTATTCCATAACTACACTAATTTTCTTTCAGATTTTCACAGCTGCTTTGTATAATGCCTACACTAAACTGCCAAAATTTTCATGCCTCAGGATTTGGCCAACATATCTGTAAAAGTCATGCTCCACTAGTATATCTGACAAATGTTTTCACAGAAATAACAAGATTATGCATATCACTGTGTGGGCAAGTTAGTTGGAAGCAAAATGGCTGAGGATGATGGAGAACCTCATACTGAAAACTTGTGCAGTAAGATTAATATGGATGATAGTAGAAATTTACGAGAAGATAAAATTAGAAAATGACACAGTGATTTTGATATTCCTGAATAGAATGGTCTGCAGATGGGATCTGAAATAATAAATCCAATTACAATCATGCACTCAGCAGGATAGTAGAGTTGGTATACTGACTAGCTACAGGCTGGATGACCGAGAGGTAGGGTCAAGAACTTTCTCTTCTCCACGCCATTGAGACCAGCTCTGGGTCCCACCCAGCCCCCTATCCAATGGGTGCGAGGGACTCTTTCCCCAGAGGTAAAGTGGCTGGAGCATGAAACTGACCACTCACTTCCAGTTAGTGCCAAGGTCAAGAAAATGTGGATCTATAAAACCATTCCCCCACACATCTTCATGGCATAACGCTTAATTATTTAAACACAGGGGAAACTTGACCTTACCTTGCTCAACAATAATACTTGTGCAATAACTGGAAAAATTAAGATTCAGATGGAAAGAGAGAGAAGTATTTTTAAATTTACAAGAACTGATTAAAATACTTCCAAATAATGACACATCTCCTGAATAATATATATTTCTTTGGGTCTCAGTGTTATTCTGGACAAGGTGGTGAAGACACAAGTACACTGTCATGAATCAAACTCTGAACACAACCAAATATATCAATATATCATAATTAAAATGAGTAATAATTCCAGGAAGTATTACAAACAAAAGATTATCAAAAATAAGGCTACATAAAAAAATAACTGAAACCACAACCCAGAACATTAATATAGAATAACACTCTCACAAACAAAACACCAAAGAATTATGCAAAAGAGAGGGGTGGGGGATCATTTGGTTATGATACACAGCCTTGATGACAAACTACTTATCATAAAATCCATGCTTTATTGATTCAGAATCAACTGACCTAGCTAATAATAATACTACAGCGAAAGAGACAATTTGAGATACATGCTTCAACCCCAGAGTATTTCAATTTATACAATTAAACAAACCTGTTTGTAGTAATACTGGGCTACAATTTTAAACTGCATTCTTGTTGCTTGACTTTCTGCATCCCATGGAGCATAGTACATGAGAAATGAAACATCGGACTCGGCCACTCGTTCAAATGCTGGGCCGAGCTGTCCATGGTAAAAGTCTGCAACCAAAGATGTTCTTGGAAAGAACGGTATGGGCGACGGACTTTTTGAAATCTTTGGAGGCCTGAAAAGAAAGCAAAACAAACTACTACAGCTACAATCTAAACAGGCTGTGCTTAATGACCTTACACTGTTAATCAAGAAATGCATTTTAAAGAACATGACAGGTATTTGAACATGTCGTGGTGACTTACGCATTCTGTAACGCTGCATACGAAGTAATTAATAATGCCAGAATGAAGCATATTTCCCGGCCATAAAAATACATATTTGAGTTAAAAAACGTTTCTTTCGAGTCACATCTACCTCGGTCAACATCTCGTTCTTCTACAGTCACTGGCATAACCACAGACATCACTCCACGTCATAAGTTTGTTATCAACAACGACGACAGTCGGAAAGACAAGAGATCTAAAAAAAATTTCCTGCAGTCTAGTTACAAACCATCTTAATTTACTCTGTAGCAGATTGCTCAATATTTTCAACCATGGTCTTTTACGTCTGCTCTCGCCATCCGAATCAAACCCAATCACCTGACAGCTGCCATTCTACACTTCTCCACGTCGCCATACGTTGTCCGCCGCACAGATCGCAGAGATGGGCAGAGATCATTTGATCATGTGTTACTGAAACTTTGACCAGAGAACATACATCGATCCCGGTCCATCCCGGTTGCCAAAGTGGTGATTGGTACCCATCAGCTGGTGGGGATGGGTTGGTTTATGTGGTCTTGGTTTGTTACGAAATAGTTCCATCCTGTGAATTGTTTGCTTTTCAGGAAGTCAGTGTTACATCAAATTACGGTATCATGGAAACATTGTTAATATTTGTTCCATGTGCTCTATATAACGAGGAACCCGGGACCTTGTATGGGGTCGTACAAGAAAGTAAGGAAGAATGTGTGAAGGCCTACTTCATTATTGGAAAGACTGAAGGCCGAAGTAGAATTTCAGAAGTAGAACAATGCAGAATTATTGGATATTACTGTAAAGAAGATGCACCATGCAGTGTATCTTTTGGAGAGAAGTTAGACTCAGTACTCTTGGGATTATGTGATTGTGAATTCATATTGCATAAAGTATTAAATGGTGGAGATGTTGTAGATATGTCCAAACCATGTCAGACAATTTGCATTATATATGATCATCAAAAATTCATTCTTTCAGAATTGTTACTGCAAAGTATGGATCATAGTGGCTTAATGTATGGAGATCATTTCAAAATGCTGGCTAGCAAACTTAGCACAGAGGTATCATTCCAAGATTCTTCTGTATGCACATTCAGTTCGCTAATAGGCAAAAGTCTAGTCTCACAGCAAATAATCAAATTATTGTTATGTATAATTAATATTCTCCTGAGGTTCATTACTTTCGTGCATCCTGTATTGAAATATACAACACTAGAATCACATTTACAAATTTTTCTTCAAAGTATAATCTGGGTTCTACAGTCATGCTCTTGTAAGAAAAATCTTTCAGTCAAAGTTGGGAATTACATTGTTGCTGTCATTGTTGACATATGCAGTGGAATGCTTATACTGTACTGGCTCAGTACAATTACATCATCACCCTCACAACTATTACTTGAGTCTGGAGAGGTACGTATATATAAATATGCACTAAAAGTGACATGTGACATTCCTTCTACTGAATATAATTAATTAGTACTTTCTGTAAACACAAAACATACTTAAATACTTACCAGTGATGTGTTTAGGACTTGCTGACATTGACAAGAGTGAGTGGCTGTTATTTTCTTTCCTGCACACTAATTTTGTCAATTATAAGTTCTGTGCAATGTAATCATAACTCACATGAGATTTTACCAAAACATGTGTTATGTTTTGCACGTGATAGGATGAATATTGAGTTGAATGAAGGATGTGGCTCCAGTTGTAAAAGTCACTGAATTAATTGCCATTTGGGAGAAACAGGTGTGGCCCATTGTTGTCATGATCCCAGTGCTTTTACTGAGATAGCTTTACAGTTTTTACATATACAATTATGAGATTTTATTGCTAATACAAGGTGTTAAAAATTCAGTTACTCCAGGACTTGAAACCAAGTGTTAATAAATTATGACTGTACTTCAAATGTAGTTTACTGGAACTTGCTGAAAACAACTCGGTGTCATTTGGAAATGATGACACCCTGAGTGAAATAAAACAATAATTAATAAAGTATAAAATAATTTTATCTCATTTTAATTAAAAAGAAGACTACAGCATGTGGTTCTTTAAAATGAATTAGAACAGTGAAACAGTGTGGCAGTTTCGACACAATCTTAATTGAATATCAGTAAAAAACACCTGAAGATGGCTGTTTGAGGCTGAAACATGTAGCATTAGAGAGTGTATTGAAGTGTAAAATAAAAAGTGTTGCAATTTAGACAGATTATGGACAAATGGACGCTAATATGAACAATTGCAACAGGATGCTGAAATACAGAATTATGTTTTAGTAGTAAATAAGTATTAAAACAAGGACAGCATTATTACTTGCTTATGATATTTACTGTTCCAAATAAAGCTTTAATTTTATTCAAATTTACTTTCTCATACCTCATTCATCGTGGCAGTGTGACTTCATTAATATGTGAATGAAGCCTCCCAGCTGAACATCTTCAGGGAAAAAAATATAGATTGCATGCTGGTGCTATAGCAACAGCAATAAATGAAATTAATTTACAGGCATGCTAGAAGCTGAATGGTTGTACAGCAGTTGTGGTAAATGCAATGCACAAACATTACAGAGAAGACTTCTGTTTTTAACATTTATTGTTAGTCTCCACCTCCCCATGTACTGTGTATAAATATCTCTGCCTTCACAAAAGAAAACTTACAAACGTAAGTTATTGGTTACAGGGAAAATGAAGTTCATTAAATGAAAAACAGTTACAGATTAACATGATTCATTTTAGCAAAAACTCAAAAATCAAGTGTTCTGAAATAAAGGATTCCCATATAAGTGAATGAGTCCATTCCTACCCTGTACGTGTCTTCCTTGAATGTGTTACGATGTTGGAGTTGGTGTAGAACAGGTTTTATCCACCTGAATGACATCTTACTGTACCTCTGTGTGGAGGGTCAGAACTCAGGTCATATCTTAATTTACCTTAAATTCATGAAAACTTGCTGTGGAAGAAAAAAATGTTTCCTCACAGTGGTTTCACAAATAAGATGGAAGCATAATAATAATAATAATGAATTGGAGTTTAGGAACGTTAGAATATAGTAGGAATAAAAAGATTATCCATCAGTACATCTAGGATGCCATGCAAAAGAGAACACTTTAAACTATTTCCTATGTGCTTTGTACCCCGCTGACTTTCCTTTGTATCAGCTGAGATGATTAAACCTAATGTTGACTTTGATATAAAAACTATTGCACTAGTTTCAATGTTTGATTGTTGTTTTGTGTTCAGAGTTAATTACTTGCAGGTGGTGGTAAGGACTCTGCGAGAATTACTGCAGTGGTTGATGGGTATTCCTGCTGGTTTGAAACTTAATTATGCATTTAATAATATGTTGGGACAGTTCTTCCTTTACCACATTAATCTCTGGTGGACATTTCTAGGTAAGACTGCAAATTTAACATCTCAAGAAACTAAATGAGGTATAGGGTAAAGAACAGTAAAACAGATATGCAGCTTTGGAACACTTAGATGATGAAGTGGTATGATAGAGCTTGGGAAACCAATATCAACCAATATCAAACTTTCAGCCAAGGAGAGTCTAGATTATTACAAATTGAAGCAACATAACCCATGTCTCAGTGAAGAATTTTCAAAACTATTAGATCAAAGGAAATGAGAAATCACAGAGGTTAGTGTTAATGAGCTTGCAACACACAATGAGAACAAGAACATTAGGGACTTATATAGAGGAATAAATGCAATTAAGCAGGGTCATCAACCTAGAACTAATTTTGTAAAGGATGAGAATGGTGGTCCTGCAGGTTCCCATAGCATTTTGAATAGGTGGAAGAATTATGTCTCTCAGCTATTGAATGTACATAGGGACAGTGATATTAGGCAGATAGAAAAACATACAGCTGAGCCGTTATTACCTGAGCCTATTCCTTTTGAGGTTGAAACTGCTATTGCAAAGTTGAAAAAGTTTTAATCACCAAGTAGTGGTCAAATTCTGACAGAAATAATTCAAGTAGGAGGTGAAACGTTATGGTCTGAGATCAGTAACCTCATTAATTCTATTTGGAGTGAGGAAGAATTGTCTAAACAATGCAAGAGTCTATTACTGTACCAATTTACAAGAAGGGCAATGAAACTGACTAGTTAATTATCAAGGATCCTTCTCTCAAGTTTAAGTCCAAACATAGAAAAAATTATTGGGGATCATGAGTACAGGTTTTCATATAACAGATTAACTACTGACTAGATTTTTTTGTGTTTGCCAGTTACTGGAGAAAAAGTGGGAGTAAAATAAGACAGTACATCAGCTATTGATAGACTTCAAGAAAGCCAGTGTTTCAGTTAGAAGGGAAGTATTGTACAGTATTCTCATTGAGTTTGGGTACCCATGAAAGTAGTATGGCTTATTAAACTATTAATAATGTTATATTTTAGCGTCCTGTTGCACTGCTTCACGTTCATGATGTGTATTTGTACCAACTATCTTACAGTGCACGCAATTTCACCTTTCTCTTCACTACATGTTTTGGTACTAATGTGCCATCTTCAGGTGTGGTTTTATTTACGTCAAACCATTGCACTGTATGCCATCATGTCTCCTTTATAAAATGATTGAAATGTAAATTTGTCATGTATAATAATAAAATTTATATATTAAAACTTTTCAAGATTTATCATCTATATGTCGCACTTCAAATTCGCGAGTTACGTCAGTCCTCTCCTATGGGAGTACTCTTCCTATATTCTTGTGTATATTGTGTCCTTCCCTTGTGACTGCGTGTATTGTAGTGTATTATTAAACTATGATTACATGAAACAGGAAAGTCTGTATAGATAACACTTGTCTGATACATTTCCTATTCTGAATTGTCTAAAACAAGGAGATGTGCTGTTGCTCTTGCCTTTCCACTTGCTTTAGAATACACCATCAAGGAGGCTAAAGACTGGGTTGAACGGAAATTGAATGGAATGCATCAGCTTCTCATCCCTGCTTATGATGTAAACTGATTGGGATATGACGTAAATACCACAAAGAAAAAAACAGAAGTTCTAATTGATGCCAGTAAGGAGGCTGGAGTAGAAGTATGAGTAAATGTAGAGAAAACTATGTGTATGTAGATGTCTTGTCACCAGAATGCAGGGCAAAATTCTGACATAAAGATCTTTTGAAGAAGTGGGTGAGTTCAGATATTTGGGCACAACTCTAACAGATCAAAATTGGATTCATGAGGTTATTAAGAGCAGATGAAATCTGGGTTATACTTGCTACCATTCAGAACATTTTTTCTTCTTTTCTGCTGACTAAGGACATAAAAATGAATGCTTAAATACACAACTTTGCTGTCTGTCTGCGTATCCCCCCCCCCCCAATTATTGAAGGCTGATGAGATCACTTTGCTGTGCTGTCGTGTCATATCAAGGAGCCATATGAGATCTTACTGTCAGTGTGTCTCTGTCTCCCCCTGCTTCATTCATTTTCTGTGTAGTCTGTCAGATCAAAGGAAAGTAGGCAATTAGTTCTCCCCAGAACTACTTCTGTATAAACACATATTAATTAGCCTAACTAGTTTCATAGGCATAACAACGTCACTGGGAATGTTGTGAAATACTACTATCCTCACTGAATCTTTGGCTGTTTTATAATGTATAAATGAAGTGATTTATTGTCCCATTGTACTCCCAATTTTTCTCAGTATATTACAAATGAAGAATGTCATCAGTAGTTGATCCGTTACTTTGAAATTCACAGTAATAACAATAAGTAATATTAGCTGCATATGGAGTTACCCTCAAGAGAAGAATGTTGGATACAATTTCGCATGTACTCGGTTTTCAGACTTTGTCCTTCATCCAGTATTAAAAAAAGTAGAACATGCAACGTTTTGGAAGATGGATCTGTTTCTGTCCTCAGGTGAGTGGGGAGACGCCTACTCTGGTGGAGTCCTTAGAAAGAGCTAACGTCAATCCAGTTATCTTTTTAGAATACCAGACGATGGACAAAGTCCAAAAACCCAGTAATTCTGAGTGTTATACACCATCATCAGAACCCTCTAGAATCTAATTTTCAGTAACTGCTACAGCCAGTTTTATTTATCTCCTGTTTTATAAATTGACAACAGTAATCTTGGCAGAGTCCTTCAACTTCTATACCAGTTCTTCATTTTTAAAATGATCAGGCTGCCTCTCTGGAATACCACCTCTGAAAGGTGGCCTCTGAAGCCACAAATATATATTGTTTCACTGATTTCATTTCAGTGCTGTAAAGTTGCATGGGAATAGGGAAAGAAATAATTTAGTTGGATGTGTGCACTCAAGAACCTTGTACAACCCTAACCCTTGGGGTTGGATAAATACACTGTGATACAAACCTAAGTACTTGCATAATGGGTAGGCCCTTGCAGCGGGACCTTCAATGATATGTTGTGCATAATCTGACTAGTTACTACTAACTACTAAAATGACAATACCACACAATTAGGATTACTGTGTTGCCTGTTGCTTGATCTCTGCTCCCCATGGAATTCTGCCTGTTACCATCAGAGCTACCTTTATTACAGTAATTAATAACACTCACAGTGCACCGGTTTAGAATGCAGAGGTATGCTGGCAGGGACCTCCCAATGTCTTTTATGGCTGTTCAGCATATTTTTGTGGCATGATAGCTGGAACTGTTCTCTCCCAAAAGTTGTTATGACACCCCTTCCCTGTAAAGGAATGTCTTGTACTTTTACTTTCTTGAATGATACAACCCACCATGCAGATGAATGAATGGATAAAACAGATATTTAGAGACTTAATGTTAAATATAAGCTTAGGGAATTAAAGTATTATTTTTTATATTCTTTCTTCATTATGCACATTACAGAAACTGATTGCATGTTAGATTTGTTCATGTTCGTCATTCAGTTCAAGGCTATATTGTACTTGCCGCTAGTTTCATTAAATTTGCCCATAGTGAGTGAACAAGCATATTTCTGGAGCTGTGCCTAAAACCTTTGTTCTTCCTTTAGGGTGAGAAACAGTTTTGTTTGCCCATTCAGATAATTCAGAATGATATAATTTATGTCATCTCTTGTACTTAATTATCTTTTTTTTTGCAGTGGTTGCCAAACCATTACTAGAGGTAACATTCTACATATTTCTTTGTCTTGGCCGACTTGGACTCACATTCCAAGCATCTATCCTTGCAGATCTTCTTGCATTAGTCAGCTTGCACATCTACTGCATCTATGTGTATGCTGCCAGGTTTGTGAGACACTTCAAGTTCATCAACAAGTAAAGCAGTAGAACAGTTCAGGAAATTTGTTAACACATTTTGTACAAATTAAGAAAAACATAAATGCTACTATTTTTGTGTATATTTCATATTGAAAAGTACTTCTGAAAATGTTTTATATAAAGGAAATCTCTTTGAACTCCCATGTTGTACCAAATTTTCATACTGGTTAATTTAATGTTCCAATATTGGCTGTGTAAATGAAAATAAACTGCACTCTGTCAAGACAGGTAGACATAATTATCACAACATCGTAAGGGAACATGCAATTCCATGAAATAAACTGGGTTTTTTGGCATTTAGCTTCCACAGAGTGAAAGCCTAGTTTGAAAGGGGCTGTGTATCAGTTTCCAGGAAAATATGCTTACATTACTTTACTGGCTTCAGGTTCACATGATCATGAAGCACATGGCCATTTTCTGTCATTCTGCTATAAGCTATAACATGTTTTTTTAATAACATGCATTATCACTGAAGAGTGAGCCAGGATAGCATAGTTGGTAGAGCGACTGGCTACCAGCTGGACAACCGAGGGGTCGGAGTTCGAGTCCCAGTAGGGTCAAGAATTTTCTCTTCTCCATGTCGTCCAGACCGGCTCTGGAGCCCACCCAGCCTCCTGTCCAGTGGGTACTGGGGCTCTTTCCCTGGGGGTAAAGTGGTTGGGGTGTGAAGCTGACCACTCACCTCCATCTAATGCCGAGGTCAAGAAAATGTGGATCTATACATCCACTCCCCCATACGCCTTCATGGCATAGTGCTTAATTAGTTAAGCACAAGGACAACTTTACCTTTACCTTATCACTGAAGAATTCTGTCTTCACGGATGTAATGCTGTGTAGTCTGTTGAAAGTTAACCATATTGTGGCGCACGCCTTGTGGCCAGTTTATTATTATGAAAGTGGGGATGAAGCACCCAAATTTCTTATTCTGATTCCAGTGCTGTCACCAATTTTGTTATGGGGCACAATTATGTCACCCAAATTCTTATTACAGCCCACACAGCCATCAAAATTTAGAATATCCCACCTAACTGCAACCATTTAAACATATTTGGATAGCTCCTACTCCACCCAGTGATGTAACTATTACGAATACCCCAATAATCACTCAGTGTGTGAAAACACGAACAAGTATAATAAAATCAACAAGTACATATATACAGCCATAAAATTTACACAAGACTATTGCACTCATGGCCATTAGTTCTTAAAATCTGTTAACCAATTTATTTTAAACCTACACAGTACAATTCAAATTTCATATCCTAATCAGTGAACCAGAAATTACATATTAACAAATAATCAGTAGACCGAACATGGGCAAATACTCACGCAACCAGACAAGTAGCAGAATAAAGATGGCTGGCATGCCATCTCGAAACTCTTTTTGCACGGGCTGTACCACACGACTGCTCTGTGCAACTCCTGAAGCCAGAGTGCTAGCGGCTTCTCCTGTCCAAACCCCCAAAAATTCAACATCATGAAAATTCTGTTCACTCAAAATCCTAAAATCAGAAAATTCAGACTGGCTGATAACCTGTCATGTGAAAGCAAGACTTGCCTCTGTGTCATTCACCCGATTTGTCAACAATTTCTGTACACTATACACGTGAAGCCAGATGCCTAAGGAATGTGCTATGTCTAAAGGTGATCTCGACCTTGGTTTCTGGCTGGCCAACCTGTGGTTCACATAATGTATTTCAATTTACAAGACTTATAATAAATTTATAATAAATTAAACATAAAATCAACCCATCATTAAGTTAAATCATACCCATTAATAACCTGGGGCACAGTAACCATCATATCAGAGGAACTTGTCAGCTTCATCTTCAGGGTTGAAGAGAAAGTCAAGCAAGAGACAAGTATGATGCAGGCAAAAAGTTTGCTTCCTGCTTCATGTTCATCTGAAACATCAGTTGACTTTCAGTGGGTTACATGGTGTACATCCTGGAAGATGGAACTCTTCATAATTAAACCATCACTGTGAGAACCTCAGATCCTACATGTATTATCACTATTTGAAGATATGAATTTTTAATTTTATCTATTAACATATTTGTAATTTGATTCTAATATCATGTAACAATTTCAGATTGTACAGTTTGCAAGTGTCAGGCTTGGTAGCACTGTGGCGATTGTTTCTGGGACAGAAACACAACCCCCTGCGAGGACGGGTTGATTCATGTCAGTATTCGCCTGACCAGCTCTTTGTGGGAACCCTGGCATTTACTATACTCCTCTTCTTGCTCCCAACGACATTCATGTATTACATTGTGTTCACAACGGTATGTGCATTTTTGTGATAATAAACACAGACGTTCATATATCTTTTGCTTATTTCAAGAAAAACAGAAGTACCTATACACACGGGTGGACATATGGGCTGCGTGTTATAAGTTGGAGTGCATTATCTGTTAATGAGTGAAATGTAGTCATCATTGAGAGCTAGTGTGAGAAAACTTGACATTTATTATTCACTTTTTATAGGGAACCTGAAGAATCAGCACTTCCACATTAAAGCCCATCATTGCATCCTATCCTGAGGTGCACAGATCATTTCACATCATTGCAGCCTCTGTTCTTAAGCTTCATTTAGTGCAATTCAACCCTAATATGAGAACATATAAAATTAGGAAGAATGCCTGTTCTTTACTCATGTTATTGTTTCCTAACATCTAATTGTGTACCCAGCAGTAAGTTTTAAAACAGTTAATATGGATATGAGAGTATATTCTCTTTGAAGATGTTCTCATGGTGATATGAAAATAATGAAAAATAGGACAGTGTTATTTGGATCAAGAAATTTTCTCATACATAGCATCTGGTACTCACTAGTGTATGAGGTTCCATCAACACAAATGTGTACAATTGCAGTAATTGTACACACCTTCTTTATGATATGACATGTTTTGGTCTGTTGAGCTGCTTACATAAATTATCATACGGCTGCTACATTGGCCAGTGTTTACATTTTTGGCTTAAGTCTATGTGTGAGCTTTTACTTATATTATCTTTAGTGACTGTTGATTTTGTTGCATTGAAGTTAAATGTTAAAATGCTATTAAACTTTAAATTTTTTTAAATGTGCAAAATTTATCCAAGTTTTAACACAGTTGAAATGGCTAAAATTTGTCAGGTTTCTCAATTTTCACTTCAGTTTGGGCACAGGCTGGAGATGGACAGTGTTGCTACAGTAGGCCTAAGATCATGTTGCATCCTCAAATATTGTATGTATGGTGCAGTGTGTATTACCTCTTGAATTGTCTTTTCTCTATGTGGTCATGATGTGGACTATGGTTGGTTCAGTTCTTATTTCCACCGCATTATCTTGTATGTGGTGGGTTTGCAATCCCATTATGTTTTCATCGTTCTGATTTTGTGCAGTATATGTATCATCATTGTGAATCTTAAAAATTGATTATTGTGGTTAATATCTGATTAATTGCTTACCTAATGTTTGGTTTTTATGTTGGTAAAGAGTAGTGTGTTTTTACCTCACTTACTGAGGGTCTTCGATGAGTGATCTGTGTGAAACTGAAACTGTGGCTAGTGTATAAGTAGTTCTGTATTGTATACTGGTTGATGTTCTGCTCTCTCCTGGTAGTTTAGTGAAGTAACTGTGGAATTGATGGTGTAGTCTGCATCATTATTAGTGTAATATTTGTGTATGCCGTTGTTGTCTGTTGTTTTGTTTTTTATATAGGTGCAGTAAATATTTTATAATACTACTTAGAAGTGTGCCTTTTTTTGGATATCCAGTTTATTTCCATTGTGTTATTTGTATTCCCATATGTATGTCCATTTAATATATGTTGTGAAAATATAGGTGTAGCTTTGTTATGTCACAATGCCTATGTGTGTTATGTATATCTTTGTTGGAAGGATCACCATGTTTGACCTATATATTGTAATAAACAGTTAAGACATTTCAGTCTGTAAATATCATTACTGTCATACTTGTTGTTTCTGTATTGTGATCCATATTGCTGTTAATGTATGGAGTTAGAGGTTCTGGAAGCTCTTCTTATGTTAGTATCTTTGAATACTTTCATGATTCGTGTGTTATTGTTTTTATTGTATTGTATATTATTATTGTTTTATTTTGTTGCATAGTCTGTGTTTATTTCTGTAGTGCTGATGTTTTATCCCATGGAATAGATGTGTATTCTGTTAATTGTGTAGTTTATTGCTGCCATTTTGTGTTTATTTGGTGGTGTGGGGGGTATTAGTTGTGTATTTTGGTAATGTTTGCCGTGGATTTATGGTATATGTTGTTTCTTTCATTCCTATAATGAACCTTAGGTTAGGCTGTATATTGTTAAATTTGTTTAGTGCATGGTTTATAGCAGTGAATGTTTTGCTGTTTACCACGTATCACCTGCATATCCAAAGTATGCTATTATTCTGTTTTAGAAGAATTCAATATATATTATTGTGTTTCAGGTATTTCACAAATATTTCAGCTAGAAATGTGAGGGATGGGGTTTCTGTAACTAATCCTTTTTGTTGTCTGCAGTAGTCTTTATCAAAATGGAAGTAGTTTTGTAATATTAGTGTATATTATTTTGTTCTGTGCTGGGATAGTGTAGTTGGTATAGCGACTGGTTACGGGCTGCTCAACCAAGGAGTCAGCGTTTGAGTCCCAGTAGGGTCAAGATTTTTTCTCCATGTCATCTAGACCGGCTCTGGGGTCCACCCAACCTCCTATCCAATGCATATTGGGGGCTCTTTCCCTGGGGGTAAAGCAGCAGGAGCGTGAAGGTGACCACTCGCCTCCAGCTAGTGTCTAGGTCAAGAAAATGTGGATATATACATCCACTCCACCATACACCTTCATGGTGTAGTGCTTAATTAGTTAAGCACAGGGACAACTTTACCTTTACATTTACATTATGTCCTGCATAATCATTAGATTAGACAGTTTATTTTCATTAATTTCATTTTATATTTGTGACTTTTGTTGGAATGTTGGTCTGCATATTTCTTATGTCAAACAGATACACTTCTGCGTTTTTGATGATATCTATGATTTGTAGGTCTGTGATGGGGTGGACAGTCTTCTTTACATTGTATGTAGGTATATAGTAGTGGGATATCATGCTTCATTATTTGTGGTACATATGCTATCTGGTAATTCCTTTGTGTGTCAGCTTCACACTACTATTTACCAATAAAACATGAACAAAGATTAGAAAACAAAGTAATGAGTCATCAGCCACAAAAACCCATGTTTCAGACTCACAGTGATGAAATATACTGCATAAAATAAGAAGAGTGAACACATCATGGGATAGGAAATCTGCCGCATACAAGATAACAAAGTGAAAATAAGAACTGGACTAACCACAGTTGACTTCATGGCAACACACAGACAATTCAAGGGATAATACACACCATGATACAAAGACTGTCTATCTAAGTGAAACCAAATAACTGTGAATTTCAAAGACTTAAGCATATCAGTAGTGTGAAATCTCAGAAAACTTTTTTGACGTTTTAACATTTTAAGTTCAGTGACATTTTAACGTTTAACATTAATGCAATAGAACTTACATAGATAACACAGATAATATAACAAAAAAAAATCACATATGCATGAGCTTTTTAAGGGTAGGTTAATTTGGCTTAAAATGTTCTTTAGAAAAGTAATATGAGATAAATATGGGTGCTTGAAATATAAATATATCTTGAATATTTTTGCGTGCAGCTCCGTCTGGTGGTGGTTGGTCTTGGAGGTCTCCTTACACGTGTGCGCTACATTCTGCAGTGTCTTCCTTTATATGTCAGCATACTTTGGATCCTGCAGTCTGCAACCATCAGCAGTAGGTATCAAGTGGTTGTCAGTATTACTGCTTATCTATTTTATTACACTCTTGAGAGTAGTGGTAGGTTATGTAACAATATTGTAGCGTGATTGGCTACTGAAGACGCCGTTCGGATTGGTAATTGTGTTTATTAACCACTTACATGTCGTAACTACAATTACTTATAACACTGTTACTGATTTACACATCTTACACTCACTACACACTAATCTCTTTGCTTTGTCTTCAGTAGTATTCACGTATTTATAACAAGGGAGCTATACAAGTCTCGTTGAAATACACACTCCTAATACCATGCACTGTAAAGTCTTGGAGTCACTTTGACATCCTCACAGGGCAACCTCCTGTATTCCTGATTCCACTTCACTTGCTTCCACCACTCGTTCCCCTACTCGTTTTCATTCGGTCTGGCCCTCATCATGTAGCTTTGAATCAGACAGCATGAAAACGTCGCGACCAACAGTCACTGACATCATTGCAGCCCATCGCATAGGAAACATGTCACACAACAGCCACATACTGTTGTGTGATGTCATGGTGTGGCTGTTGCATAGCGACAGCCCATCCGCAGATAAAGAAAACACTACTCCCATACTGTTGGCCGCACGTGTTGTGGGTGTTGTCTAGCAACGGGTATAAAAGTAAGTAAAGTAAAGCTATCCCTGTACCAGGCCGTGAAGGCCCATAGGATTGTGAGACGTTGAGGGTCCCACATTATCTAGACAGTCGGCTCAAAGATGGCAGTAAGGTTGTCAGCCTTACGCGCCGGACGCGCTTTACTCCCCAGGAAAATCATTTACTCATTTCTGTTAGAGGCTGAGTGAACCCCAGGGCCATAGTGCAGCTGGAAGGATTAGGTCAATTGAAAAAAAATCCAATGACCTCATCGAGACTTGAACCCGCAACCTTCCGGCTTGCAGCATAGTGCATTAACCACTATGCTACTGCATGCCCCCAGCAACGGGTATACACACCACAATATATTCCAACTATATTGGAAGATAATGACCTGATCCAAAGTAATTAATATTATACGAAATTTTAAGAGTGAATGAAAATTAGGTTTCAGAGGTTTTGGACATGAAAATAAAAGAAAAATGTCCAACAGAAAGACCAAGAGTAAGAGGGAGAAAACGTGTCACACAAAAGAAAGAACACAGAAATAAATTTAAGAAGATGAGCCACATAAAGTGGAAACACCTGAGGAAGAATAAATGAACAGTCTTTTGGTAAGAGATCAGAGTAATCCATTTATTCTTTTTTCATCATGACGTCTCATTTATACACTGTGTGTCTGATAGTTTCTACATGCCTGAACTACATACTTCAGGTGTCGTTTAAATATATATCTCCTTTAACTACTATACATTACAATAACACTAGATCGGTGACATTTTATATTCTTGAACACCTTCTTCAGCATTTCAGTATGTAATAATAGTCTATCCCTGTAGAATACAGCCATAGTAAAGTTAAAAGTAAAGTTGTCCCCGCAATTAAATAATTAAGCGCCAAGCCATGAAGACACATGAGAGTGTAGGTATATCTCCACAAATCTTGATCTTGGCCTTAGATGGAGGTGAGTAGAATATTATGCCCACAGTGTGCATAAAATTTTGTCATCTGCAAAGAAATCCAGGATACAGGGCTGTCATTGCTGTAAAGAAATGATCACAGGGAGAGAGGGCTTGGAGCTCCAAGGAGAAATGCTGCCAGATCTTGCAGCTGTGTACAAATACTGTTCTGTCATGTATGTGAGTCCTTCTGCACATATAAACTTATTCTGACAGAGAAACACAGCAAACTTACTCCAGAAAGTACACTGACATACTTCATGGGAAATTATAGCCAGCAAAAAGGGTGAAGATTAGAACTTGGGAAGAGATGAGGAAGTGTGAATCATGTATGTACATGTCTCATGTTGTAGTATATTTTGTCAGTTTTTAGCACATTAAAACCCAATATCTATTTATCCATATTACAGACTCATTATAGAAGGAATTTTATTCACACATTGAAGCTCTCATGATATACAGTGTCATAGTTTATTACAACTGAAAATTCTGAAAACTGCTTTTCTTTTGAGACGTGTTCTGCGTTATTAATAACATAAGAGTTGTATGTGAAAAAAATGTGTTGTTGTGTTACTGTAATATTTTTTGTTTTGAATTCCAGAGATATAAATATTACTACAGTTTTCAATTTGAACTTTGTCAGTAGTAGATACACCACATTATACTAAACCACACTCAGTACCTGAAAAATAATATTAGAGAATAATTGTGTGTGTCTGTAACATTCTGATATATTTGGCCCTTTTACCCAAAAGATCACAAGCAAATGAGACCTTGATTATGTGACATTCTTGCTGTCCCCAGGTACAGTGCACTTAATGGTGCGTTTCAGAGAAACACAGGGATCACTGTTCCTGTCTGTCCAACCAGTGTGTGGCTCCTTGTGGAGAACTGTCCAGTACTGCATGCCTGAGACAGTACATCCACCACCCAGAGTGAAGTGGGGGAACCTCTTAGGGAATCTGGTATCAGGCAGACTTATATAATATTACTGTAACCACTCATTAATAAAATCTTGAGATTCCACATTCAAATTTTGTACACTTTCTTTTCTCCTGTCTCAGCTAATACCCTCATCCAAATGAAAACCTCCTACACTAACAGTACACAGTGAAACAGATTGTTTTAATCTTCCCTTGTACTATTTTATGACACTAATATGCCAGTTAATTTATCCCTCTTACTCCAGAGTATGTATATACGAGGGTTGGAACTTTAATAGTGGCAACTATTTATTTACAACTGATACAAAATAGATGCATGTTTTGAAGTTTTACTGTCCTTCAGTGTAGTTACCAGCATTGTATATGTTGTAGGATACCTTTAGCAGCGCCTGTTGTGTTGATAGTTCGATTGGAGCAGTCTACTGCCTGAAGAATCTCTGGAACAGTTGTGAAGCAAATGCCACGCAGTGGTTCTTTCATCTTAGGAATCAAGTCGAAGTCACAAGGGCTTAAGTCCGGGGAGTATGGTGGATGGTACAGCACTTCCCAGCCTCATCGATCGAACAGATCAGCCACAGCTTGCGCTGCATGTGGCTGAGCACTGTCCTGCAAAATGATGGGTGTGTTCTGCAGAAAGTGTTGCCGCTTCTTTCTCAAAGCTGTTTGCAGGTTGTGTTCCAAAAATGAACAGTAACACTGCGCATTCACAGTCTGTTGTCGGGGAGTGGTATGCGTTAGGATAACACCATCACAGAAGTACACAAGAATCACCATAACTTTCACATTGCTGGGGTTCTGACAAACTTTTGATTTTCATGGTGACCTGTAATGACACCATTCATTCAATTGATGTTTCATTTGTAGCTCATACGATTTGGCCCATGTCTCATCCAGTGTAATGATACGGCGTATGAAAGCCTCTCTTTCATGCTCATAGCGCTCCAAGTGGTTATGAGCAGCATTGTATCGTAGCCATTTCTGCATTTCCGTCAAATCATGTGGAACCCATCGTGATGCAATTTTTCTCATGCCCAGGGATTCTTTCAGAATGTGAAGCACAGTCGTATGTGCTAATCCTGTCTCTCGGGCCAGCTCACGAATCGTATGGCGTTGATCACTCTCCAGTAACGTGGAAAGAGCATACACTTCTTCACTGACACTAGGATGACGTGGCCGACACATGTCTGCCACATTTTGGCGTCCCTCGTTGAAGGCTTTTACCAACTTTGCCACTGTTCTCTAAGGCACTGCAGATTCCCAGCAAGCCTCTTGAAGACCTTGATGACACTGTTGTGCTGTATGGCCTCTGGATCATTCAATCTTTATCCAACTCCATTGTTCCTATTTCAAAAACATCGTGACAACACTACATTAGACCGCCAGCTAACATGAGGCTTTGTTCTTCTCGTCACTGCGCATGCGCATGATATGGGAAGGGAGAGTCCATTTGCTCTGAGGTAAGGTAGGTCTGTAACTAACATGTGGTATAAGCGACATTATTTGGTTCCATTGCATGGCGTTTCTACAGCCGTGTTGCCACTATTAAAGTTCCAACCCTCGTATTTAGAAATAATGGTTATTCATTACCTTAATAATTAAGTTTTGTATTGCAAGCTTCAAAGCAGTCCTCCAAACATTGACCTGTATCACACGCACTGCAGCATACCCAATATCCTTTTACCATGTGCAACACAAAAGCAGAGTTGTCTCTGTGCTTAATTAATTAAGCATTATGCCATGAAGAGGTATAGATCCACCATTCTTGACATTGGCACTAGACGGAGGTGAGGACTTCGAACTGAACTTAATTTTCAGATCTAAAATTTAAACTACAATCAAATTGACAACACTTGGACCGTTATTTCTTTATTGTATATAAATGATTTACCAGCTATAATAAGTGACATATCAAAACCTACTTTATTCGCGGATGATATTAACTTAATATTAACTGCTCCTGATTATAGGCAGCTTAAAGAAAATTTTAATATTGTCTTTGGGAAAATAATGCATTAGTTTCAAGCGAATTTTTTGACCTTGAATGTTAATAAAACACGTATGTATTTTAAAATAAAAATGAGTCAAACTGATAACTCGCCAATAAGGTATATAAATACTCAAATAAATAGTACCCATTGCACTGACTTTCTAGGAGTGACACTGGATTCGACGTTATCTTGGCAAGGACATATAAACAAAACGAGTAAGAAATTAAACTCTGCTTGTTTTGTTATTAGATCTGTTAAATTACTTCTAACAATTGATGATTTAAAAATTGTATATTATGCGTATGTTCATTCTATTATGGCATATGGAATTGTCTTCTGGGGAAATGCTGTAAATAGTAAAAATATTTTTATAGTTCAAAAAGGAATTATAAGAATTATTATGAATGCAAATCCTAAAGCATCTTGTTGAGGATGTTTTAAACGTTTAAATATACTGCCTTTTTATTCCCAATATATATTCTCTTTATTGCTATTGGTAGTGAAAAATATGCACCAATTTGTGATTAATACTGAAATGTATATTATAAATACACAACAGAGTTTCAGCTTACACTTACCATCTGTAAAGCTGACCAAGTACAAAAAGGGTGTTTATTATATGGGTATAGTAATATTTAATCATTTACCATGGAACATAAGAAAATTATCAACTGATGTTAAGAAATTTAGATTAGTCACTAAAAATTTCCTTTTAAGGGAATCTTTCTATTCAATAAATGAATACCTGGAATGGTCTATAAATCTATAGTTAAGGTTTATTCTGAATGAAATTCATATTGGTGTAATTGTGATAACATGTACTTATGGGCGTATTTTGTATCTGTACATCACTGTTGTGACTCGAAAATTGTTCATTTGTTGTATGTAAGTTGACAAAGTTGTGAGTTACAGCTGCTTTTATCATAATATTTTATCTATTTGTTATATTTTACTTTTCATTTTATATCTTATTTTAGTATATATATATATAAATGGACTGCTTCTGTATCTGTGGTGACTGTCTTGCCTGTACGGATTGCTTGAGGTAATAATAAATAAATAAAAAAAAATCACAAAATATACCCACTGCAAACACTGACCAACAGTGTATGTGCATACCCAAAGATGGCCAAAAGACTGAAATATATAGGAGATAATTAATGTATGGTTTATCAATATTAAAGTTGTCCTGACAGAAATAAATACAATTTTACTGTACTTTATTTTTCATTTTTGTGAAAAAAAGTTGCCTTGCCAAGGATTTACACATAATTCAGGTAACCATAAAATTCTTTACTAAACGAAACGTTACATTACATTAGACAGTTTTCTACTAAGTTATGCACAAATCTATGCAGCATTCCATGTCTGGATAATGTAGAAAATGTACATTTCTCTATTGCAGTATTTCTTTGTTGAAAGCATATTTAGATTTGCTTCCCAGTTCATTTCATTTGACATTACACAAGTATGTCCAATGAAAATAATTAAAAAAAAAGATTACATAACCATGGATACCTTTATTTCTGGGTTTCCAGATGCTGAATACTTATATTCATCATATTCTGTACACTGACGTGATTAATGTTCTTTCATTTGAAACTACTACTGATCAGTAGCAGTCAATCTTAAAATCGTCTTAGGGTATCAACCACACTGGTTGGTTAAAAAGACTGACATTTCAGGTATCATCTCTGTCAACATTATCAGGATCTAATGTGACACTGGATTCAATTAATCACACACATATATCAACACACAGCTTTGATCCAGTATTATCATTATGCCTGCCACTTTGTCCTCCTCTTTGAGACCTTTGTTTTGGAGTAGAAGCAAGATTACGGTTGCTGTATTCATTACATCAGAAGGTCTTCTTCAGGTGGATGATTACCATGTCCAGGCTATCATCACGGCATACAGTTTTGGGCTGCTGAATGAGAGTGTTTAGCACAGCATGTCTGTGTGATGGGTAGTGTTCAGACTTTGTGTGAAGGCAGAGGTCTACAGTGTGTGTATCTGTCTCCAATAAGATCAGGAGGCTTCTCACCAAATACAGTATTACAACAATTCACATTCCCATGAATAAAACTATCCATATGCTTAAAGTAAAAAGGTATACCTGTAACAGGCTGTGAAGGCCCATAGGGTCGTGAGATGTTGAGGTTCCCACATTTTCTAGACAATCAGCTCACAGATGGAGGCAAGGTTGTCAGCCTTACATGCTGGCCACCCTTTACCCCCAAGAATATTCCTGTTAGAGGCTAAGTCGACCCCAGGGCCATAGTGCGGCTGGAAGGATTAGGTCAATTGAAAAAATTCAATGACCTCATCAGGACTTGAACCCACAACCTTAGACCTGTAAACAAACTGACTAAAAGTCACAGGTATACATTGCATTCCAGGTGAGTGCATCAAGGTATATGTGGGACAGAGGGGCAGAATCAGTTGAGACCAGACGTGTGAAATACTGGAAACACAAATGCCTGGGCCAGGCAGAGAAGTCAGTGATGTCAGAGAACAGATTTGAAATAGGGCATGTGACTTCCACACTAGATAAAAGCACTAGAATACATGGACTGCTTGATAAAGAAGGCTGAACCTTATAAACTTTAAAAGGGACAGGAGTTTCAATCTCAGTGAGTCCTGCTACCCAGTGCCTAATAGGATAAAGCAATACATAGATATACTAATCCAGAACAAACAACAAAAGTCATGCAAAACCATGACTCAGCCCACTAGCCCTTGCAGTTTTGGTCATGGGCCACAGTTTGGTATACAGATGGGATGGTTTTGATCCAGTATCACATCAAATCCTGATGAGCACTGAAATGGTGCCTGAAACATCACTCATTTCTAACCCTTTAATACTGACCCCAGTATGGCTTACTGACTGCCTTGCCTGTCATATGCTGCCACCATCAGTAAAAAGCACTGACCTATTCTGTATACACATAATCTTTCATATGCCATGTCTCTGCTGTTTACTTGGAATCTAATGATATAGCTTCCTTCATGCTGTTGGTATATATCTATTCCTGCTTCAGTTATTACTATTTGCTTGACTAATATATGTTTAATGGCCACAAGTTAAAAAATCCAAGTACTTTCAGTGCTGTGTTTGTTGTTGCTTTTGCTATCATAAATTTATCCTGGTGGCTTTTTCCTGGCTTTATATAGGTGTAATAATATTTCTTTGTTCTTCACAATAATTCTCAATTTATGCTTCTAAAGGTGTGTCATTTCTTTGCTTGCAGTGACAGTTTGCCAAATCTTGAACATATATGTTCTGTGCTGCCAACTCATGGCTCATTGCAACATCATTTATGTTATAATTTCGGCATTTGTTTCAATATATATCAAAATATTTGGTAGCAGTGTATTTCCCTTCTGTAATTTGAACATTGTGTTGACTTGGATTCCCTGAGTTTTAAGTTTGGGTGAGGGAAAGGTTTTGGACATTCTAACTGATTCAGCTGAGTGTCTAATTAGGGAGAGTAGTACAGAATGAGAGCAATGGTGAAACTGATGAAGATGACATTGCAGTTGCTGATGCTACTGCAGATAATGAGGAAAGTGACTTGGAGGGGCAAGGCAAAGGTCAAATCCCGTGGTGACAATGACTAGAGTAGCAGCTTTACCCGGAAAGACATGGATAATTATTGTTATTCTTTATAAGGTAGTGAAAACCAATAACAGGAAATTAAATGTATGTTTTGCATGGTTTGTTTCTGCTAATAAGGATCATTCAAAAGCCCACTCTCTGAACATATTTTCCCAGGAAAAATCTATCAGCACTAGGCTATAGTGGCATGATATTATGGGATAGGTATGAAGTAATAGTGAAATCCCTACATTTTTCAAACACAGAGACACATTATGAAGGTGCTGCAAAAAATCTATACTTTTCCAGTCCTGTCATACTTAGACTACAAGCTTCAGAACTCATTCCTTCCAATACAAAAAGGCAATTTTCCTTCAAACAATATTTACCTCTAAAATCAGCCAAATTTTACAGAATGAAAGAAGACTTCTGAATTATGTGAATCCAGGATATTTTTGGTGTCTCAGCAGTACATACAGGTAAAGACATATTTTTCCCCTCATAACAAATCATCATCCACTGTTCTACATTTGGTGGAACCCTTGACAGAGGGCCATACAGCTTGGCTGGGTAATTTTTACAACTCTCCAGTTGTCACCAGGCTGCTGAACACAAGGGCATGAATTGCATTGGGATAAAGAGAAAGGGTGGCCTAAAACCATCAAAGATGTGAAACTGAAAAGGACAGAAGTAACTGCCCATCATTATGGGGTGGTGACAGTGATGAAGTGCATGATAAAGGGAACGCCTAAAGACTTCTCATCAGGATATTGAACTGAAAGAGAAACAAAAGCCTATCACTGACTATAATAAGTAGGGGAAGGTACCGACCTAAAGACAGCTACTGCAAATATACACGTATCTTCTAGTAAGAATGAACATGCATAATAAGCAGTATATGAAATTATTCAGAAGATTCCTAAATGTCATATCACTGAACTCTGGGATGATTTAAAGGCACAAAACTAGAAACTGTATTCAACAGCGTTAGTAAACTGATGGAGAATCCCCTAAACCTGTGACTTTGAATATAAGTAGTTGATCACTACATAAGAACATAAAGCTGTACCTGTAACAGGCTGTGGAGGCCCATAGGGTTGTGAGACACCAAAGCTCCTACATTTTCTAGACAATTGGCAACAGATGGTAGTGAGGTTGTCAGCATTAAATGTGGCTGCCCTTTATCCCAGGAAGATTCCTGGTACTCATTTCTGTTAGAGGCTCAGTTGACTGCAGGACCACAGTGCGGCTGAAAGGATTAAGTCAATTGAAAAACCCCAATGACCTCATTGGGAATCGAGCCCATGATCTTTCGGCTTGTAACATAATACCTCAAATGACTATGCTACCATGTGCCCCCAGTGGTGTCCACAAAAAATCTGAAAATCGAAGACACATGCATTACAAACTGATCACCATGCAACAGATCATTACAAAACTGAGAAATATTTCACTCACAAAGTTCCATCTGGAGAAAAGAGTGTACACCACAGAGGAGACGCACAGAGCCAACAAAAATATAGAAAGACAAGATTTTGTAGCCCGTGGTGTAATGTCAGGCTGTGTTTAGAGGACTGCTTAGAAGCTTATCATATATAATTTCTTTTCTAAGGTAATCAAAAATATTTTAATACTCTTTCAAAATTCTCTTAAAGTGCAATCCTTATAACCAAATTTTATGTTCTTTTACAAATACAGTGTAATCCCCCCCAAATTTGGCACTTCCTCAAAATATAATGTTTATGGGGTGTAAGTACTTATATTACCCTGTGCATTGTCTATAATCTAATTCTACATTCTTTTCTCAATACACTGTCAACTGTTTGCCTTTAAATTGCCTAAATCTTTCTTTAGTAAAAGTTGCATTTCTGGGGTGAGATTATTTAAATGTCCCATCAACCACACAGGAAGTTTCCTTATAAATGTCATATGTCACCAAAGAATTAATCAACTGACATGGCCTACAGCTCGAGAAAATTGTATTAACTTTAGCTGCTGCTCAAGCTTCAGATTTTACAGCAGTCAACCTGATTTTCATAAAACAAGAACCTAAAACATTTAATTTTAAATTGTTCATGCCTGATATAAATCAAGCATACTATTGTAGGCTTGTATTAAATTTAACTGAAAGATTTTGAAATGTATCAAAACAATGGACATGACACATTCCATTTAATACCAGTGTGTAAATATCATGAGTATGATATGCTGTCTGCCTCATCCTTTATGTTAGAGGCTCTGCAGGAACCATGTCTGGGAAAGCAGGGCTTATGGTTAAAACTGGCATTCAGAGAGTGTTTCTGGATTGACTGTAAGTTTTAAAAATTACAGATAACACCCTTAAAGATAAAATAAATAATTTTAAAATAACTATTTTGTGTTGAAAATAAGTATTCATTTTTATGATCATGGTAGTTCAAAGACATATGGAAACCACAGTCTTTAACATTTACAGCTATTTCCTGCTGCACAGCAGAGATGTGTAAAACTTATTACCTTAGACTTGCATTATGCTCGGAAAATAACATACAAAACTAGTCAGCTCTGATTCTGAGATACACTATCACATATTCCATTGACACTACTGGTTGAGAAAAGTGCTCAAGAAGTGCTTAATATTAAGACAATTTTCTGCACTGATTACATGAAGGGAAATTTCTACATTATGGAAGAACACTCTAGGAAATAAGAACTGAAGAAAATACACTACACTGGGAAGACCAGCAAATGCAACATAACAAAGGTTTTTCTGAAGACTTTCTAGTGAAAATACAAACAAAGTGTTTAGAACGAATGGTGCTAAACTGCCCTAAGCTCAATTTACACATTATTTTATAAAACAATTTCATTCACATTAAATATTACATTTTTATTTTAATATTCAGCACTTTCCCTACTTAAACATCACCCTCCTATAATCTCATATAAGGATAACATTTTTTATGTGAGTCATAATGTTATTATTTAGTAACCTATGCCTTACAGCTTCTAAAAGAAATCATAAGCACACATAATTATGCAACCTAATACTGTCTCTTACAAATATCAAGTACACATTACTGGACTCCAGAACCATTTTTGTCAATGACAGCAATAAAAAAGGCACTGCTCCACATGTTTTACTACTGTGCCAGCTACAAAAAGCAGCAGAGAGTGGTTAAAATATGCAGTGATGATGGATGAATTCTTGCAATTAGGCCCGTAAGTAGCCATGGATTGATGGGGATGATGTGCCACGATTGAGTCGCCTTCCCCTAGAAAAAAATTTCATAAGTTTTAAAGAATACATTTCTGTAGCATGTTCGCTGATTGCAGCCCAACAAGCCACTTGGTGTGGGGGGGGGGTTAAATAATACAATATGAAACACGACACATTTTTACTAAACCTGAAAACGGTGATTAATATTTGGTGGTGTTATTTCCTCAATGGTAGACATAATGTTTATACTGTTACTAGGTAGCATTGTGAACGCCATGGTAAGATCATTATATGTAGGTAAGTCAACAAGTAAGTTACAAATGGATATAGAACTTAAATAAGAGTACTCATTTGAAAAATACTTTTTATTTCTGAACATAATCTCCCTGTACATTGAGGCACCTGTCCCATCGTTTCACAAGCCCCTGAAAACCAGCAGCATAAAATTCTTTGGGCTGCTGTCGGAACCAGGCATGTTCACACGGCATGGCCTACCTCATAATGCATGACAGGTTAGGTTTTCACAAAGTCTGTGCATGATGGGTGCCATGCATGCTGATCACACAACACAAAATGCAAAGAATGGGTCTGGTATTACAGCATCTCAATTGCTACCATGATGAAGGACACAATATGCTAGCCCAAATTGTCACAGGTGATGAGTCTTGTGTTCACTATTACCAGCCCGAGACAAAGTGTGCACCAATGCAGTGGAAACATCCCACGTCGCCTGCCAAAAAAAAAGTTTAAGGTGACACCATCCTACAGGAAAGTGATGCTCACAGTCTTCTGGGATCACGAAGGCATACTGCTCACCGCATTCCAGCCTCAAGGCGACACAGGATGTTTCCACAGCATTGACACATGCTTTCTCTTGGGCTAGTAATGGTGAACCCAAGACTCATCACTTGTGACAATTCGGGCTAGCATACCGTGTCCTTCATCGTGGTAGTGACTGAGATGCTGTAAAGCCAGACCCAATTTTTGCATTTTGTGTTGTGGGGTCAGCATGCATGGCACCCATCATGCACAGACTTTGTGAAAACCTAACCTGTCATGCATTATGAGGTAGGTCATGCTGTGTGAACACGCCCGGTTCCAACAGCGGCCCAAAGAATTTTATGCTGCTGGTTTTCAGAGGCTTGTGAAACAATGGGACAAGTGCCTCAATGTACAGGGAGATTATACTGAGAAAAAAATCATTTTTCAAATCAGTACTCTTATTTGTTTAAGTTCTGTATCCATTTGTAACTTACTTATTGACTTACCCTCATACATGAGATACAAAACTGATTCACAGCTGATCCATAAACTGCTAGAAGAAATACTAGTATCACAAATGGACCTATTAAGTGTAAAGCTATAGGTGGATGTTTGTAACTTCTAGTAATATATACTGTATAACCTTATTACAGTAGTTTGTTTTATTGTCAGTTAGCTATTGTTTATGTTAAGTGGGTCTTTTGTCACCACAAATGCTATATCCTTAAGCTTCAGTAACTATGTTATGCAAGAAGTTGCAGACAGATAATGAGCTTAGACACTGGTCTGTGTGCTAACAATAAAGAAGAGTAACATATGGACTTGGTTTTGTTACTTCACTAATGTAAATAATGTCATACTGGGTGAAGATTTATGTTATGTTACTTCATGAGTTACAGAACATAAAAAATGTGATGATTTCTGTCTTTACTTGTTTGGATTTGAGGCTTTATCATCTCTAAACCACATGAACATGGGTTTACTAGCATCATCTTCACTTAGTGAGTTGTCACTGAGAGACTGAGAAAAACGTCACATATACAACTGACCTCACTAGCACATACTGTTATCAATCCAATAGTTCATATCAGAGGACTTGAACATCTTGTAAAAAGTTATTCATTTATAGTTCACTTGTTTCTCCCACCACCTGTGCTGACAGATCAGTAACTGTGCAATATGCAAGGATTGTTGTAATAACAATATTTGTAATACAAGTTTGTGATTGGAAATATCCTCTTATTTATAATATGTGAATGGGAATAGCATGAATTTGAACAAAATTTGGTCCACCAGGGCTGCATCCATAATACATAATTTTAATCCATTCACTAGAAAGTGTTCTCGTCTGCTTCATATTCACACATAATTAATGGTTAAGGAACACATGGCAAAGGAGAACTGCAGAAAACTACAACAAATCTAAAATTGGAGAGCCAGCACCTCCTAAACATAAAAGCCATTTGTTACTGCTTAGTGGTAAATACTGCAAAGAACAAGGCTTGGAATGAACACTAAATCTTTCATTGCTGTGGGTTCTTTACTGATTGGGTACAGTCAATCACCCACTAACACTGAAAGAATGAGATAGGCATGTCTTTTTGGAACAACCAGCTATGGCAAATACAAAACTTCATCAAAATCTATACAGAATGAATTTCTGAAAGCTAAAAACTGTTCTTACAGGGATAAGATGCTAATCCCTTCTGAAATACAATCCTTCAAGGCATACACACTTGCTCCAGTGCTGGGATCACCTCTCAAACTGCAAACAGGCACTATGTGGTAATGCACTCTTACTACTCAATCACACTCCACACACCGAATATATTGAGCACTCTAAAGATAGAAATTAATCCAACTCATTTTTTGTTATACAGAGCACACTTTTTTACTCAAAATTATTTAAAAAATACTGCTACAAACTAGTACCAGTAACTAAATGAAGTGTTACTGTCTGTCGTCTGAAATTACCTTAAAAATGTTCAACACGCTTGTCAGTGGTTAAAAGTGTAAGAAACGTCATCAATTTCAACTACCTGAAAAAGGAAAGAAATAAGAGATGGTTCCAGAAATGTTTTGTTTATTTACTGAAATAAGTCCTTAAAATTAAAAATAAATAAAAAGCTTCAGAATGAAAATTTCTCTGCCTCAAACAGCGTTTCTCTTCCTCACAGTCTGTTTTCTACTTATAAATTCAAAATTAAATCCTTTAAGTCTTTTAGAGACCTAACATCTTTGAGAGTCAAGATATAATATAAAATATGTAAAATCAACATTTGCCTAACATAATTATTTTTTATACTGAGGAGTTGCTAGCCTCATGCCCAACCCTCTAGCTGGAGGACCACCCCTTGTCGGCTGTCCACAACTGCACAATATTCTGATAGAGTTTGGGATGCCCATGAAACTAGTTAGGTTGATTAAAATGTGTTTAAACAAAACATATAGTAAAGTCCATAATAGTCTAAAACAAGGAGATGCTTTATCGCCACTCCTTTTCAACTTTGCTTTAGAATATGCCATTAGAAACGTCCAGGGAAACCAGGTGGGACTGAAATTAAACGGGACACATCAGCTGTTGGCCTACACCGATGATGTGAATCTACTGGGTGATAATGTAGATACCATAAAGAAAAACACACAAATTTTAATTGATGCAAGTAAAGAGGTTGGTCTAGAAGTAAACACAGAGAAAACTAAGTATATGTTGCTGTCTCGTCACCAAAGTGCAGGGCAAAATCATGACATAAAGATAGGAAACAGATGTTCTGAAAATGTGGCACAGTTCAGATATTTGGGAACAACGATAACAGATCGAAACCTGATTCAGGAGGAAATTAAGAGGAGATTGAACTCAGGTAATGCTTGCTACCATTCAGTCCAGAACCTTTTCTCTTTTCGTCTGCTGTCCACACACATAAAAATTGGAATATACAAAACTATAATTTTGCCTGTGGTTCTATATTGGTATTAAGGGAGGAGCACAGACTGAGGGTGTTTGAGAACAGGGTATTGAGGAGAATATTTGGACCGAAGAGAGATGAAGTGACAGGAGGTTGGAGAAAACTGCATAATGAGGAGCTTCATAACTTGTACACTTCTCCAAGTATATTTAGAATGATCAAATCAAGGAGGATGAGGTGGGCAGGGCATGTAGCACAAACGGGGGAGACAAGGAATGCATATAGGATATTGGTGGGAAAGCCAGAAGGAAAGAGACTACTGGGAAGACCAAGGCATAGGTGGGTGGACAATATTAAAATGGATCATAGAGGGGTAGGATGGGATGGTATGGATTGGATTGACCTGGCTCAGGATAGGGACCAATGGAGGGCTCTTGTGAACACGGTAATGAACCTTCGGGTTCCATAAATTGCTGGGATTTTCTTGAGTAGCTGCAGAATTGGCAGCTCCTCCAGAAGGGCTCAGCTCCACGAGTGAGTAAGTAACTAATGTACAATCAAATCTGTTACCTGGGCCAATGAAGAGGAGAAGATGCATGAATAACTGATATTCACAGATAATCCTAGACACATTGTATTTTGTCATTACTACACAACACAAATTACACTCAATCAGTTTTTATATACTAGGTTTAGACAAAAAACCTGGAAACACTACAGATACTGTACACATTTCTTTATTACTATGGTACTGGACCTCTTTTTGCCTTGAATACAGCCGCAATTCTTCTTGGAATGGACTCAAACCAAGTTTTGAACAGTCTCTAGTTATGCATGTATAAGGGGTGGGCTTTCTTGGCCCTTGCAACACAACAACAGTGATCTATTGTGCCTTCAGTCTCTAGTTAGCACATTATACAATTCTTCTTGAGGGACACGCGGTAGCATAGTTGGTTGAGGCACTATGCTACAAACCAGATGGTCGGGGGAGTCCAAGTCCCAACGACGTCATTGGATTTTTTTCAATTGACCTAATCCTACCAGCCACACTATGGCCCTGGGGTTGACTCAGCCTCTAACAGAAATGAGTACCAGGAATTAATTAAATAATGTTCCTGGGGAGTAAAGCGCGGCCGGCGTGTAAGGCTGACCTTACCGCCATCTTTGAGCCGACTGTCTAGATAATGTGGGACTCTCAACGTCTCACAACCCTATGGGCCTTCACGGCCTGTTACAGGGATAGCTTTACTTTACTTACTTTACCATTCTTCTTGAAGAACATCTTCAAGTTGCTTTAGAGAAGTTGGAGGTGGGAATCTGTTCCTCACTCTAGACTCCCAAACTGACCAGAGTGGTTAAATGATGTTCAAATCTGATAATTGTACTTGCCAGGGAAGATGAAGAAATTCACTTTCATGCTCTTCAAACCATGACTCAACAGTTCCAGCTGTGTGAATGGGAGCATCATCATCTTGGAAAACTACGTCATTCATAAATAACATCTGGATCATGGGATGCACCAGATTACCCAAACTGTTCATGTACTCCCTAGCAGTAATTTGGACATGAAGGGTGACAATGGGACCAAAAGAATATTGTACCATGACATTGCTGCCCAAATCATCACAGAACCTGCCTGATGTTTCACTGTTGGAACCAGGTATTCCAGATTGTAGGCTTCCTTAGGTGTTCTCCAAATGTAAACCCTTCCCAGTGTAGGGAACAGTGTGAAGGATGACTCATCTGACCATATCATGCATGTGTTTCCAGTTCTCTGATGTATGTGTTTTATGCATCTGAGCATTACCTTCAGTAATCAACAGGTTCAGCAATTGCAGCCTTACCACGGATTTGTGAAACTCATATATCAGACAGTTCTTGTAGAAATGGTCTTCAAAGATGAATATTCAGTTCTGCTCTCACCTGTGCTGCAGTAGTTCGTAATGTTTCAAAACAGCCTTTCTCAATGTACAACTTGATTCTTGCCCACTGTTCCTCTTCGCTGTCTTCCCATGATTTGTGTATGCTGGCATAACCCTAGAAACTGTCGTTCTTAATACACCTAATAATGTGGCAGTTTTTATCAGAGATTCTCCAGCTGAACATGAACGAATGATCTGTCCTCTTTCAAAATCAGACAAGTCTCCCATTTTCTGATTCTTTCACACGAACTGTTACTCAACACAATCACTAATGCGCTTACACAAGCACTACAGAGTGTTGCCAACTGAAGTTCTTTTGATGTAGCTAACAGAAATTCTATTCCTCAATTTTTCAGTGTTTCCATATTTTATCCACCCTCTATATACTGTAATGTTCACCTGTTTCAGTAAGTTGTTTAGACATTTTCCTACAACAGTTTCAGTTTCCCTTGAGCCTGCTGAAAGCCTCAATGACTCATGCAGTCTAGTGAAGTCTCAGCACTGTGTACTGCTCCACTACAATTAAAAAGATCAGTGTGTCCTTCCCCTTGACTCTCACCTCTCACCCTCATCCCAGTCTTGCAGCAGCAATAGCTGCATCGGTCTTGTACTGAAAGCCAGACCTGCTTTCCAGCCATTCCTCAATGTCTTCTTCAATGACATTTACAAATCCTTTCAAAACAATCACCAAACCAGAAACTTCAGGTCAATTTACCCTGAAAATCATTTTTATTTTGATCTGTAAGAATTTCCTCCATCATTGAACAAGTCTTATGGGTTTCAGTGAAGCCAACACTGAGACAACTTGATCGAGTATTCTCAGTTTTCCCCAGGATGTCATAACAATATTATCTCAAACAAAATTACCATTCACTGAAACAAGCACACCTTCATCCATATGCTATATTATAGCTGAGATGCTGGGAGGCAAAAACTTTACCTGAAGACAGTGTTCTGGGATAAAAAGGTATACTGTTCAACAGCAACACTGCTTTCTGTACAAAAAAGTTAGTATTAGTTCATGCCTCATCACCAAAGAGGCAATAAATACTTTTTGGAACTATGATACAGAGCAATGAATCATTTGGAAACTGTGGCAAAGACCAAATATTTGGGAAAATCAATAAGAAATTATGTTCACAACAAATGTAGACCAGATAACATTTTGGGAATGCTTGCTGTCATTCAAATCAGAACTGTCTTCCCTTCTCTTGCCTCAAAACATTAAAATATACAGTAGCATAATTTTACCCGCTGTTCTACATGGAGCAGAAAATTATCTCTTACACTCAAAGAATAACACAGTGATCATGTTTAAGAGCAAGGTGCTACGGAACAAAAGGCTGGACAAAATTGCATAATAAAAGTGGTCTATAATCTATACTGTTCACATATTATTTCAGGAGAGGAAAAACTAAAGGATGATGAGATGGCCAGGACATGTAGCATGCACTGCAGTTGGAAAATGTGGATGGGAAAATAATATTAAAATTAATCTTAAAGAAAGAGAATGTAAGGATGTGGAATTCATCTGACTCAAATGGCATGTTCTACTGAACATGGTAATGAACCTAAAAGTTCCATAAAGGTAGTGAATTTAATGACTAACAGATTCCTTAGTTTCTCAAAAGAAGACTCTACTGCACAGTTAGTTTCATGTGAGTGTGAAACTTGGTCCCTCATCTTAAGGGAAGAGGGTATCTGAGAATAGTGCTGCAGAGGATATATGGATATAAGAAAGAAGTAAGTAGCAGAGGAAAAGACAAACCAAGAGCCTATACACATTACAATGTCTCTTCAATACTGTCACTGGATCATTACTAGTTACCACAAAGCCAGCTAGCAAACTGTAGACCCAAGAGCCTGCTACTATACTTACACAGTCAGTCAGATTGCTTCTCATGTCAAAATGCCACATGTGCGGTACACACTTGAACAATTGTTCATGCATAATACCTGTGTAAAAAGTAGTTGTGTAAGAAAATTAAGGAGAAGATTATGGTATAAATCTCAAGATGTTCCAGACAGAGAAAACTATTCCTACAATTATAAATAAATTTTATATAGATATGGTTCATACTGGACAAAGAAGAGCCAAATCAATATACTGGGTGAACTGAAGATAAACTGGACAAAATCATTGCTAGTCATGAATATTATTCTTGAAAATTCTTCAGAAAACGTGCACAGGAGACCAGCTTTCAAAAATAGCAGCACAAACTCCTGAAACTCAATAAGGCAACAGATACTGGCTCGCATATAATGCATATTGCTTGCTTCAAAGTAGCTGTTCAATGACTTACTCAGGCAGTATTCAAGAGACTGTAATGTTCACAGGATCTTGGTGTGCCATGTCTTGTCACTACCTCTCTGAATCTGTGCAGCCCAGGCTGACATATGGAGTAACTGTTTCTTCTGCCTGAGTGTCTGAACAATTTTATAGTAACACTCAGATCACAATGTAGCATGTACACGCACACACACAGTAAGATTAGAAATACAGATAAACTGCAGTTGGAAACCTTACAGAAAAAAGGCCTCTTGGAAGCTGTAGACATAAATGAAAGGATAATATTAAATTGGATCTTAAATGAAACTGAGTGTCAGAGTGTGCAACAGATTTAACTGGCTCAGAATAATGTTCTTGTGAGAACAGCAATGAATCTGCAGACAGCATAAAAGGTTTCTAATAACCCTATCAGCTGCATGACTGTCAGCATCTCACGAATAACTCTGCTCCATGAAGCTAGTTGCCCATGAAGACATTCTATGTCAATAAATGCTGGCACAAAGAAACACCTCAGAGTTACTGCCTAGACAGAACAGACTCAAAGAAGGAAATACTGTATAACGTGACAGCATCCTGTATAATCTGCACACCAGTCACATTACAATCAACATCTGCAATAAAATGTCACTAATCTGACACTACCTATCAGTGAATGTCAAGAGTGGCATCATACACCGAGGACTTAACAGGAAGCATGACAGTAAAGCTGCACACATTCTTAATCTTGCCACCATATGCAGATGTGCGCTGTATCATTCTGTGCTACACCACCTAGGAGAGGGAGCATATGGTAGCGTAGCTGGTTGAGGCACTATGCTACAAGCCAGAAGGTCATCATTTCAAGTACCGATGAGGTGGATCTTATCAATTGACTCAATCCCTCCAGCTGCACTATGGCCCTGGGGTCAACTCAGCTTCTAACAGAAATGAGTACCAGGAATTTTCCTGGGGGGCAAAGGGTGACTATGCTACAAGCCAGAAGGTCATCAGTTCAAGTCCCAATGAGGTGGATCTTATCAACTGACTCAATCCCTCCAGCTGCACTATGGCCCTGGGGTCAACTGAGCATCTAACAGAAATGAGTACCAGGAATTTTCCTGGGGGGCAAAGGGTGACTATGCTACAAGCCAGAAGGTCATCAGTTCAAGTCCCGATGAGGTGGATCTTATCAACTGACACAATCCCTCCAGCTGCACTATGGCCCTGGGGTCAACTCAGCCTCTAACAGAAATGAGTACCAGGAATCTTCCTGGGGGGAAAAGGGTGGCTGGTGTGTAAAGCTGACAACCTTATCACCATCTGTGAACAGACTGTCTAAGAGAAAATGTGGGAGCCTCAACGTCTCGCAACCCTATGGGCCTTCACGGCCTGTTAAAGGGATAGCTTTTACCTTTTTTACACCATCTAGGAGACTTAATGCAAGCATACAATAGTGTATTGTAACAAAAGGGGGGCACTATGGCATATTTCTGATGTAGCATTGGGTTTAGTTATAATTAGTAACACAATCAGTGGGTCGCTATAACAGTACAGTAACAACACACATATTTTCCCTTATAATATTAAGGTATATTAAAAAACACTGGTTGCAAAAACGAACGATTTCTGGGCAAAAATTTCAGGCTGCAGAAGAAGCTGGATTAATCTGTACTTAATTCAGATCATGTTCTGCTGAAGATGTGTACTACTTCCTGCATGTCTGGTTTCTGAATACTTCTGAGAGGAATATTTTCTAAATAGTGGTTCATTGGAGTACTTGTAATCCCGAACACGGGCCATACATTGAAACAATGACCATCTATCCCAAAATGTTTGCCACTGTTAGCAAGATATCTCTACCATATATAAGCAGTTATACCTGTAAGCATCTCTGGTAGGTGTGTCTCCAGATTGCAGGCTTTCTCTTGATGCATTGCGACATGAAGCCAGTTTTGATTCCAATGCCTGCAATGTGAAAAATGAGCATTCAGTATTTAAAATGTGTAACATAACTCAGTTCTGGAATATAAGAGCTAAGGAAGATGACTGAGTTACAAGAATTTAATTAAAAAATAACATGATTTATAAGAAACAAAAGTAGAGGGTAAGAGTACATGCAATATTAAAAGACAAAGTAATATACAGGCAACCCCTGGTTTACAATCCCCACATTCACAACCAATTTTTCCATGCCAGATTCACCCTGAAAACCCCTAAGTCTGCAGCACACATTTACAACTGCATGCAATGAACAGCATGTATAATCTGAAAACTAAAGCATGCTATATGGATCAGACTCACCAGTGTGTTACTGCTGCTGGAGCTGCATGTGTTTTTGTCTTATTGCTCTTTAATGTATAGTTGTAGTTGTGTTGATATTCATACCTCATAAAAGGAAAATGAATACATAGAGTGCAAAACCAAACAAGAAACCAACAAAACCCCTTATTCTGAAAATTAAATGTCAAGCTTTGAAACTTCACAATTCGGGCAAGAAGAGAGAAGAGTGAGTTAAAGAAGTATCGAGTTCAAGTTAAAGAGGGAGTCTGTTAAGAAAATATTGAGGTGAAGTTAGAGAGAGAATTGGTTAGCATTAATTAGTGGGAGCTAGTAATTCAGCTTATGTGGCTTGAGTGGAGCAAGTTAAAAGCCGGAGAGTGACAATAATTCCATAATTTCATATATCCTATACCCAAATATTCTACTCAGCATTCTGTTCTCAGATAACTTCAATTGAATTTCTTCTAAGAGTGAGAAGTAACTGCAGGAATTAAAGCAACGTCACACCTCTTGATATTTGTCATAATAATCTGTGCATAGCAAAAGATTCAAGCAAATGTAAAACAGACCTCTACAAAGCAATCACTAGGAGGCGGTTCCGTCATTGCAGAGAGGAGTGAAGGTGGGAAGGGGAGTGGCCACCAACACATGTGCACTTCACCTGCTTACAGCCTGAACACAGGAACTTCTCAAGCTGCCAAACCAAATAAAAAGGCAAGACATACCAAAATACTAAAAAGAAATCTACTTACAGGCAACAAAATAAATTAAGTAAAAAAGGCATAAGAATTTTCATATGACATGGCAATATCTCTAAAAGACACAGACCTCAAACTATTCCAACATTGGGCTCTAGGAAAAATAATTTAGCTACCAATTTTCTTTTGAAAGGAAACTACAAAAATCTAGTCCATTCAAGTACCAGATGAGATATGGAGCCTCACCTGATGACTGAAGCTGGGATGTGCTGGCTGGTTAAGCCTATCACACAGCTGAAGAGCCTGTTATTAGGCATAGTTAAGAAATGATGACTGGCAGCAGGGAACCAGAAATACTCAAGATAAAAATTTACCACTTTCACCACAAATCTCATATAGACTGCTCTGAAAGTGAACCAAAGTCTCCAAAGTAAAAAGTAGATGTTTGATAGCATGAGCTATGACAACATTTTTACAAAAACTGATCAAATTTCCTTTGATTCTATGTTTACACATAAATGAGGAAATCTTTAGTAGATAATTCAAGTGTTTTACTCTGCAGAACTTCTTCTTGCCTGACTAACAAAGAAAAGTATTTGCAAAAAAAGATATCAAAGACTTAAACACAGTGGAACAAAAATTAGGTGCCACCCTCATACTGTAGTCTTCTGTGTTATGGTAACATGCAGTATGGTATAAGAGTACCAACATTTCAGAGGAACATACTGCCTCCATCTTCAGGGTAGATGGAGCAGTAAGTTTCTTTGAAAAATTATACCCACATGAGGGAGTAAGCAATTAGATCACAAATGAAATTAATGCGCAGTGATTGTGCTTGAGGAGAGTACTACCGAAGAGCAGAGTTCTGTTGTGTTTTTATGCAATAGGACCCAATGTAATGGATATTCATAAACAAATGTTTCCCATTTACAGTGGGAAGTGTTTGTTGCGTTGTCACGTAAAATGGTTCACAACTGGGTCGAGTAATTCTCTCAAGGACATCTGAAACTTGCAGATGATGCCCCATCAGGTCGCCCTGTTCAGACTGGAAGAGAAGCAACTGCTGACAGGAGGATAATGATACAGTATAGCGACTTCACTAGGGTGTTCCCATGGCTTAGAATACAGCATAATGACTTGAGTTTTGGAAAATGTGCGCCCAGAGAACTAAAGGACCAAGAAAAAATTAACCTTGCAATATCTCTCATAGTATGCAGATGAAGAATATATGCTCAACAGGATTGTTACTGGGGATGAATCATGGGTGCATCACTCCCAACCCTAATCAAAGTGTGCTTTAAGGCAATAGAAACATCCCAGTTCACCTTCAAACAAAAAGATTAAGGTTACACCATCAGCTCTGAAGGCTATGCCTACCATATTTCTAGATTCTCAGGGAGTACTGTTAGCCCATTTCTAGAAGCATGGTGAAAATGTGAATTCTGCATCCTACTGTGAAGTTCTGTTGAAGCTTTAGGATGCAGTTCAACAAAAATGTCCAGCTAGCTGGCAAGAGGGGCACTGCTTCATCACGAGAATGCCAAACCTCATACAGCTTAAGCAACCCAGGAGAGAATTCAAGAACTACAGAGGGAACTTCTTGAACATCCATCTTACAGCCTGGACTTGGTCCCTATTGACTTCCATCTGTTTGATCCGCTAAAAAACCATCTTGGTGATAAACGTTTGCTGATGATGAAGAGGTTGAAACAGGGGAGCAGAAGTGGCTGAGAAAACAGTCAAAAGACTTCAATGCTGCAAGTTTCAACACACTTGTAAAGCAACTAGACAAGTGTATCAACATTGGAGGAGGATATGTTGAGAAACAAATGTTTCTTCCAGGTATGAATATCACGTGTTTTCCGTTTCATATTCATTCGTGACCTATTTACTGACTCTCCCTCATACCATAATACATACTTTAAAAATCCAGAAGACCACTAAAAGAAACTTTACTGCCATGAAAACTTGTTCAACGTATCTGTCACTGGCACAGAAAAGAATATATGCCTGCTATATAAGAAGTCACAAAGAAAACATACTACTGCCAAACCAGTCCAAATAAAATCCCATTTGTATAAGGAGCATGCATCTACTGTTCCATGCACGAACTACATAACTTAGAGGCTTGCTAACCCTTTGCTCATTCCATGGAACACTTCAAACCTGAGGCATGTAGATGTCTGAAGCAACCATGCCACTAGTATTAAACAATTCAAAATATTATTGTCAGGTTCTGAGGGAAATAAATATTTCCCCATAATATTTGAGATGTTTACTAACAAAAAAGGCAATAATCTGTTGAGCTTCACCACAGAAACAAATATGATCACCAGACATGATCATCAGTATTATACACATATACATAAAGATCAGTCCAAGAATCCTATGATCCATCCACACATTGTTACACTAGCTCACTCTCTTTTCAGAAGATAAATATGTATGGAACACAATGTAAAAAATTATAGACGGTGGGGGGATGAGACATATGAAACTTAACTGATACCTTTATGGATTGAAAGGGGCACGAAGAAGAAAATCTTGTAAAAAAAACTGACATGAAGGACAGTGTGACCTGGGTCTTCAAGGAAAGGGTCCATGGAATCATAAGTTTGAGAACCAATGCTCTTTCATAGAATACAGTTCTACAGTAATCCACTTTAAATTTTTACAATAGTTATTTATACATAACTTCTGAAGCACCAAGTCAGAAATAGGGTGATGATAACTTTACTAAATTGTTCAGTATAACCAACAGTGAAAACCACTTAACAACATATGCAGTTCATTTCTGGAACTGAGACTACACCTTACATCTCACTGAGAGAATGTTCAATTGGATGGAGTTCCCTTAGCAAACAACAGTGAAAAAGGGAAAATAATGAAACAGTTTCAGTGAAAGTTCATTTTAAAGACCAGATGAATAGAGTTCACATCTGGCAAGTATGCAAAGAGATACTGCAGACTCAGGGTATGAGCTACTCTTGGACAAACCTCTAGTTTTCCTTGAACACAATATGTACTTCTGAGGTTAACCTCACTTATTTAAATATTCATAAATCTGTCTTTCCCCACCCTACAGGAAACACATGCATGCACACAGAAGCAAGTGTTGGTCCAAATGTGATCAAAATAATATACTGAACAGGTGTGTATACCAAATAACATTATATGAAACACATAAATGCAATAACACTGTGAGATGTTCTACACATCAGCTGACATACTTACCCCAACCTTCCTAAGTAAGTCACCTACAATATTCATTGCAGATATCCTTGCTGGTGGGGTAAGCGGAATGTTCTGTCCCCCTCTAGGCTGCTGCACTGGAATAAAAAGTATAAATAGAGTCACCATTGCATAAATAAGAGTTCTGCACTTCATAGTCATACAAGTTTTCTCCCTTATGTTTCCACAAATAAAGCCAAGCAAGGTAAGTAAATAGGTTAGTAAAGAAATTAGAGCTATTACTGAAATGAACAACAGAACAATGAGGAAACACGTAATTCAAAGCTGCAAAGTTCTCAACAAGGAGACAAACAACACTGGAGGTATAGGAAATCTTTACATAGACCTCCAGTCCTTCAGACTGTCATGGACTATGCTTATTAGCAACTTTGGTTATATAATTTTTATGTACTAAGGCAAAGATGCAAAATTCAATGACTGTGTGATCAAGTGTCAAGCCACTGCAGTACCTAATAACCACTTCCAAACTGTCAAAACAAAGATTCTAACACTCCAATTCATGTGAGACATTTTTAGGCTCATGTTCCCAGCAGTCTTCTTAATCTGTTGTGTTCTCTCTCTTTGTGTGCATGCATACATGTGCATGTGTATACATAAATAACCCCAGCATATTTATTAGTATTTTACTTTTACTATTGGACCAAATACATGTGGAATACATCAGGTGATTAATTAATTTAAAAATGACAAATTCTGCTGAAAGACATTAATAAAATGTTTTGTATTATTGTAAACCCCATAAAAAAATGTGTGCAAACTTTATCCACTTGTATTAACAATGTTTCACATGGTGTATCTATATCCTTTTCCTCCAAGAGTAATATTTCTTAAATTTACTTACAGCTAGTAGCAGTGCCTGTCCTCCAGGCAACAAATTTAAAGAAGGAATATCAAATTAAGAAATTACATTTATATAATTACAAAGAGACTGAGAATGACTAAAATGGCTGTAAAAACTGCTGCAACACTTGCACATCAATTAACAGCCTTAGATATCACACACACACTGGATTGGGTACTGAGTAAATTTCATAACTCAAGTATCTTTGGGGACTCTCTATTCAATGGAAACTGTAGGAAACAGGAGGGTTCCATTTTTAGCCTACTTTCCTTATTTTACAAAAATGAAAGTAGGCTTATGAGATCATCATGCTGTGAGTCTGTGAATACCCTTCCTCTGTTAACTTTTGAATGCCTGAAAACTTCCTGAAATTTCATATGCATATAACAGCACTTGAGCCCATCAACAGCATGCTTCATAAATCCCTCCCATTAGTCTGCGTGTCTGTGTATCCCCCCCCCCCTAATCAGTGCTAGGCAACAGCTTGGCAAAAACATTACCACAGGAACAAATAGAAGAATTGCTGGATGCACTGTTTTCTATACAGTTAGGGTTCTATCAAAGGAAACTAGGGGATCACTTCTTCCCAGAATTCTTGTCATTCTGTCATATAAGTTTTGTGCATTTTAATGTTTAAAAGGTAATTAATTTTTCAAGTACAAAGCCACTCCACTTATACAAGTGTCGTGGAGGCTGGGCCTGCCATGATGATTCATAACACTATCTACAATTTATAAACTATCCTGAAGTGTTGCATCCTGTTTGTACTTACAAATAAAAACAAAGGGGTTGCTGTCACACAAAGTCCTTGGCATGTTTTGGCCCAGATGGACAATCATCAGGTGATTCTTGAGGAAATACACAAATGGTGACAGATTACATATAAACTACAGTGCTAGTATAAAACATCTTCTTTGCCAGTTACAATTGGTTGGATCCAACATAATGCTGAACACATTAAATATACTTTAGATTTCAAATTAGAAAAAAAAAAAAATGCCAAACCCTGCAAAGATATTATTACCTTGAGACATGGTTTTGGATGTTTTGAAACTGGTCTGGAGGTGGCAGGATATTCAGGTTATTTTGCAGTGTCTGTGGTGGAGGACTGCTTCTACTATCCATTCTGTCTGATATTGTTAGGGGTAGACCAGTCTGTAAAGTGTTGTTTTATTAAGCTGTTACATAGAAATGTGTTAAAACCTAACATACAGCAAAGCCAGACACAGAAATGTGAGAGACAAATAAATCAATACAAAGAAAGAAAACCATATTGGAACATCACAACAACCAAATACGAACAGTGCAACTGCTCCATAAGGAAATCAAATGGGAGCAGAAATAAAAAATGCCCACCCACATATTATAATGCTATAAATATGCTAATAGACACCAACATAAATAGTATATTTATAACGATATATAGATATGACATGTACCATAAACACGATGAACAACAATTTTAATTCACTGTCTAAATGTTTTAATATACTATAACATCCATCCGAATGCAGAACTTCCATTCAAGTTTTAATGCATTTTATAAAGCTTGTACTAATTCAGATGAAAGTTGAATGTATTAACTGAACGGAAAGTTAGGTACATTAGTAACTGTTGTTATATTGCAATACATGAATTCAAATAAAGCTCAATTCAATAGATTGAAAATGTTTGTTAATACGTACTGCCTGATGATGGTTTTATAAGCCAAAATATGTAGTACACGCTCACTTTAGTATGGGCAATAAACTTATTATACACAGAGAAATGTGAATGAGATTCTGACAGTTTCGTTGAGAAGAAAACAAAACAAAGAAATTATATAGGATAACACAGCATGATGTGTTTCTCGAAGATAATTCCTCTACTGCTGTCATGGGTGGTTGCCTAGTTGACAGTCAGGATAATGCTGACGTGTTTTGTTATGGGTGGTTGCCTAGTTAACAGTCAGGACAATGCCGACGTGTTTACCGGACGCTACCAACCAACACATGTTCCTTCACATGATCTGCATACATCATTTACCCAGGTGACTACTTTGTAAGTGGGGTGATGGTCGCCGATGTCTTTCCATTCTGTGCGCTGCCCGGGCTCTACTTCCTCCAGAATGGGTCCTAAGTCCTGGTCGTTCAGTTGTTCTGTTCTCAGGGCGACTGCATCCCAGCCAGCTATGGCTACAGCTGCAATAGCTCATACCTGCCCACCACTCAACTTTGTGGCAGTGGGTACACTACTCTTGGCATGGTTGGTTCAGAAGGGCATCGGCATTATTGCGTTTTAGGCCTTGACGACACTCGAAATAAAGTTGTATTCTTACAGGAGCTGAATACAGAGTGCGGTTTGTCCTTCTGGGTTCTTGAAACTCATGAGCCAGGTTAATGTAGAGTGGTTGGTGTGGAGTTGAAACTCTTGTCGATAGATGTACTATTGGAAATGTTCCAGTGTCTTCACGATTTCAAGTAGTTCCCATCGGGTAACAGTGTAATTACTCTTGGCCTTATTCAGAATCTTACTGTAGGAGGCTCCTGTCCATCCTGTACTTAGGACAGCACTCCTCTAATCCCGTTATTTGTATCTGTGTCAACGATGAACCTCTCTTGGTTGCCGGTAAGCAAGAAGAGGGGCAGGTACATAGGGCCTCCTTTAGTATTTGGAAGGCGGCCTCCACTCCTGCAGTCCACTGAAAGGCTTGCAACTCCTGAGTGAGTTTGGTCGGGGTTTCGTAATGTTTGAGAAACCGAAAATAAACCGTCTGTAATATGTGCATTGACCCAGGAAGCATCTAATTTCATGCTTCCTCATCATGGTCAGCCATTCCCATACAGCTTTCAGCTTCTTGGGGTTGGCCATTATCACCTCGGGTGATACAACATGCCCCAGGTACCATACTTCCTTCTGAAAAAGTTAACACTTCTCTGGATTGAGTTCTAGGTGAGCTTCTCAGAACTGCTCTAACACCCTCCGCAGGTTGAGCAGGTGCTCTTGAAATGGGCGGCCAATCACATTCATGTCATCCAGGTATGGGAGATGAGTAGTGAGGCCTCTTAAGACTGTCTCTCAAATGTCGCTCAAGCATTGCAGAGGCCAAAGGGCATGACTATAAACTTCCACAGCCCTTGGATCTGTCGACAATGAAGTCTTATCCTTGCCATCAAGTTGCTCCTTGTCGTCCGGGGGTAGATCCACGTGCCAATAACCGCTCTTCAGGTCGAGTGGTAAATTTAGTTCCAGCCACCGTGTCCAGAGTGTCATCAATCCAGGGCAGTGGTAAACAGTCTTCCTTGTGACATCGCTTACTTTTCCTGTAGTCTATGCTGAAGCGCATATTTCTTCCGGATGACAGGGGATGACCAGTGGGTGTCTGATTCTTCTATAAACCCACGTCACTGAATGTCCTTGAGAATCTAGCACACATTCACCTGTTTAGACAAGGGGAGTCTTCTCAGGGGTTGATGAATCAGTCAGACAACTGCTGTATCTATATGGTGATGCAATTTGTCAGTCCATCCATAGCCATCACTGTCCATAGTAAAGACGACTCCATACTTGGTGAGCTCTTCGAACTCTCCAGATTCAGCATCACTGAGGTTAGGCTTGATTGCTGCAATCATGTCCTTTAACTTTGGGTTAGTCTTGTTGTTGTGGTGGTTCCACAGTGGGTGGGATCACCAGCGTGACTGGCTAAGAGTGGACCAGGGGGAATACTTTCATGAGCTTCTGAATGCGACGGGCATCATTCACGACCCTCACGGGTAACTCCTGGTGGTCTCAGATGAGGGTCCTGGCTATGTAGAGTTCTTTGGGTGGATGAGCCTCTGAACTTGGGTCTACCAAATCATTTCCCACTCCGACGTGGCTCTCTAATCTAGCCATCACTACTCACTCGCATTGTGCAGGTATCACTTGATCATGGGCCACTACCAGGCTGGAAGGCCAGGGCCCTGCCCTTGGGTTCCAAAGTGATACCTCTTCATCTGCCAGACGTGTCTGACATACTAGATCCACAGATGTATCCTATGCGCACAGTATGCCCATCCCAAAGATGAACTCGCTTGTGATATTGACAACAAATACCCCAAATATTCAATGGCGGCCACCCCAGGGTGTCAGGAAAAATTCCTTCATGATGGGTTTTCCTTAGATACCATCTGCAGCGTAATGGTAGTTAACTGTCTTTCAGCCCATCCAGTGGCGATGTCAGGCCTGGCCACTGACATACGCCCTGGTGCCCAATGT